CACCCCCACCAGCACTTATGCAGCTACCCAGACACATGAACTTCTCGACTACTTTTATCTGCTCACCATCCAGAGTGAGTACAGGATTAGAATCTTACCAGTCTTGTAGAAGTACTTTGCACTTCGAAGGTGCAAAGCACGTACTATACCTACGGACACTGATTGCCAACTGATTAAGTGTGGATTACATGGCTTGGGCATTATCGCACAGTAAAAAAATGTCATACGCATACTCAAGGTCGAGAAGTCTTTCTCCAGGCAACAGATCCACACCGCCATTACTTACATCCATCAGAGCTGTTTCCAGAATGTCATCGATGGCAAAGTTGGAGGGGAATGGTGAGATTGGGCAACCCTGCGTAACCTCACTTCTTGAATGGAGCAACGGCAAAAGGTGGTTGTATACCCTCACTCTGCCTGAGGTGTTTGTACATAGGGCTTTTAGGATGTTAATAAACTCATCAGGCATACCCTTCATCAATAAGCAATCCCAGAGAACAGTCCTGTCCTGCATTGTTGCTTAGAGTGGTCAGAAGACTCTGCATTTTGTCAGCGTCTTCACCAAATAAAACTATGTCATCAGCATATTCTAAGTCAACAAGTGAACCTCCCGGTAGAAGTTCAACCCCTGGAAATTTAGATGAGGAGAGTGTTATCTCTAAAAGTACGTCAATGACAAAGTTGAACAAGAATGGGGAGAGTGGACAGCCCTGACGAACACCACTTGAGCAACGCTGCAACTGTTGGTGTGTGATAAGCATGATGGTGTTCTAACATTTGGCGGAGGGTGAAGATATGGTTAATACATCGTTTACTAGAACGAAAACCAGCCTGCTCCCCACGAGTCAATCTTTCTCGGTTTTTGAACAACCTACGAAGTATGATGGAAGCCAACAGTTTGGACGCAATCGGAAGTAGACTTATCCCTCGATAGTTGTTACAGGAACGACGTGAACCCTTTTTTAAAGATAGGGACAACTATCGACTCATTCCATGACGTTGGTACACTCTCTAGTTCCCAAACCTTTGTAAACAACGTCGTCAATTCCTTAGTCAGAAAGTCACCACCATCTTTAAAAAGAGCCGAAGGTAAGTCATCTGGGCCAGGTGATCTGTAGCGCTTCAAGAGTTGAAGTTCCTTGCGGACTTCCGCCTCATTTGGTGGATCAGTCGTCACCGGCCATGGAGGGCAGGACAGTCTGACGGATGTTGCCGGAACAGCAGTCCAGTTGAACTGCCCTTCGAAGAATTCTGCCCATCGTCCAAGACGTCGATGGATGTTAGTGATTGGCATCCCGTCATCCCCACAGATTGTTTCGCTCACACCAGACTTCTTGCTGCCAGTGGCTCGGATGAGTTGGAAGAGCTTCCGGTAATTACCAGATGCAGCTGCTGCTTCCAGCTCATTAGCACGCTCCGACTACCAGGCTTCTCGGTCCTTACGCTTACGGTCATTACGTAACATCCTTCGTTTTTGGTCGAACTCACGGTCACTTGGAGTAGAGCGACGGGCTTCAGTGAGTTGTAAGGAACCTGAAGAAATCCAGTCCTTATAAGCGGGACGTTTCGCGAAGTCGCAAGCGACTTCACTCGCCATTTTCATGGCGTCATGAAGTTGCAACCAATGCTCATCTATACTTTTCGGTGGAATGGTAGCTAGCCTAGAAGCTAGCTCGGTTCGATACTTAATTGCAACCAACTTGCTGACATCAATCCTTTGATGGCGGTCACTTCGTTGGCCACTGAAAAGTAAGGTCAGATTGGCGCAGACCAAGGCATGATCAGAGTTCAGATAGGTACTCCAAAAGGAGCGGCAGTCTTGTATACAACCACGGCAGCGGTAGCTGATCGCGATGCGATCAATCTGAGTCCAGGCTTGGGATGCAGAGGGAGGACGCCAGGTGGCACATCGGCGATGACTGTGCCGAAAGTTAGTGCTAGCCAGAAACAGGTTGTGGTCTGTGCATAGTTGCAGTAGACGGTCCCCGTTATCTGACCTGCGACCAACGAGTCCCCATCGGCCACCTAAACGACTCTCTTCTGTGCCTAGACGCCCGACCTGAGCATTCAAGTCTCCGGTTAGTACTACAATATCTGTCGTACGCACTTTCTGGAGAGGAACAGTTAACCGGCGGTAAAATCCATCCTTGATTGCATCCGGGCTGCAATCTGTCGGGGCATAGGCGGAGATGACGAAAGGACATCATTTCTCACGCCGATTTCTTCTCACTTTATTGGAACTCTCTAATCTAACAGCACGTAATCGACTGTTAATGGGGATCCAATCGATTAGTACTGCCTCAGCTGTAGCGCTTAGTGCGACACCAACGCCAGTAAAACCAGACGAAGATGCCACAGGGTCCCCGGATAAACGCACGTAAAACAAGCTTATTGAAACGACAGATGGAGAGCGAATTTATAGTACTTCACCAGAGTCTTGAATACGGGTCTCGGATAGACAACAAACGTCGATATTAAGACTTTCCAAAGACATAGCCAGCCCTATCTGTTTCCCGACCTGCATAAGTGTGCGAACGTTAAAGGCAGCCAGTTTGAATGGTGCACGTGGTTTCAGAAAAACTGATTCAGTACTCATATTCGGTGGTAGCATTCAATTTTCGATCAGTCAGTGACTCGAGAACGTTTAGATAGAACCGAGTTTCCACCATAGGCGAGCTGCTGCATAAGTCGAAAGATAAGGATACATAGAGTGTGAATAAATGGCGTGGTAAATAATAATGATGTGAATTGTTTGACTGTTAATCGAAGCGTGAATAGGATTTTTCAGTAAATATCGTCATTCTCATTTTATTTGTGTGGGCTGTGGTACTGCCCGAGTTTCCAGACCGGAGCATTTGGTTTTCTTAGGGGGATACACCCCGAGCCTTTGCCCTAAAGGTCTGACCCACAAGGCAGTGGAGCATCGTAAGGAGATGAAGTCCCATGGTAGCCTGTGACCAACGATTGGTTCATTTATTCCCTCAGGATACTGGAGCCCATGTGCAATATTGATTTGGTTTGGGATCCGGTTAAAGCGCCGTACATCCACTTTTCGTAAACAACACCCCCGCCACGAGAAGGCAGTGAGTAGGACTTCCCTGGCAGAGTGTGTATACGCGTGCCCGTGTGAGAGCATTTCAAGAGGGACGGCGGGCCCACCCCACTCTTGGCCATACCGGGGCATTGCTCGTGTTCATTTTAAAACCACCGAGCGAGCGACGCTGGTCTTAGGTATAGGGTAATAGATAGGAAGTTGATTGATGAGCTAGTGAATTTTTATTGACTGAGGTAGTTGGAAAACTATTACATATGGTTAACTTTCCTTAACCTCGACGAGCAATGATGTCTGGTGTAAGATTGGGTTGGAAGAAAGCTAAGGGTGGCTTAACCAGGATATGGTATCAGTCCATGAAGTCATTTAATATTTACTTGAACCCTGTTGGCAGGTCCAGAATACCTGGCGAGGTTATCGTAACTAAATGCTGGAGATGATAAACGACAATGCACAGAGTCAGCTGCAATAGAGCAGACTTATTCATTCTACTTTCCATTAGATCTTTAGTCTTAAAACTTATACTTTTATTTCCCGCGAATTCGTTCTTATCGAATCATATTACTTATACCTAGTTGTTAGTACTACTAATGATTCTGTTACCTCTTTGTTATAACAATTGGTTTTTCACATTTACACGTATGGGACGTTAATTTACCTTAGACGGATATCTACACTAGATTCCCTCTCAGTGCCTATTCTACAGACTTCAACACAACTCAGGTCAAGAACACGTGGTTAGCCTGACTAGAACGTAAATATATTTCCACACCAAAACCCGACACAATCCAACAACAATGAACAATCAATAATAACATTATAAGGATAGGGGAATATATAACATCTGACACATGTCACATTAAACAGACAACCATTGTTATTCTCGCCCACACATCACTCTTCTACCACTGAGACGTTTGTTTTGATAATCCCACTTCGCTGTTTCAATATGTTGTGGAAACTTGGATAAATGCATATATATGCCAGATTCTATATTGCTTTTGAATGAATAAAGGTATGTCTTAGTCATGTATCTTGTCTACTCTAGGCTTTAAGGTATAGAACGTCGAAAAACTGATGCCATTTTATGAAGTTACATGTGAAGTACTAGTGCTGTTCTTAGTGACGTTTCGAATTGTAAATGATACTCTGAAGTGGAATAACTACACTAATTTGACATTATAACCGGTTTTATATGACCTAGTTAACATTTATAACATAAGATGGTGCGTTATGTTGTTACATAGCAATCCAAACATGAACTCGGTAGGATCCTGTTAACATTAGGGGCTACCTTATTGATTAATGTACTAATATCTCTCCATTGCTGTAGATTTTCTGAAAGCTAGTTTATATCGACGTATTTTCTCAACTAGAAATGCTGATCCCACCGTATTGGAGAAATATCACTCACTAGATACCTAAATTCAGTTGATAAGAGAAAAAAGACTTAACTTATGAACCGAAACCTTTTAATTAGCATAAACATCCCCCTTTCAATGATATATTATTTTACCGTTATGAATCATTGTATCATGTCATAATAGTTTACCTCGATTGTAGTTTCGTTGGTTTACTTACTTAAGATAAAATCTGAAACACGAAGCGATTACACAAAAATTATTTTTTTCTTATTCTATATAGGAACGAAGATGGTTTGATCGCTCGTTTGGAACAACATGAAGAAAGTGTATATACAGCTGAATGGAGTCCAGTAGATGCATGGTATTTTGCATCGATCAGTTATGATGGCAATTTTCTTATAAATCGTGTTCCAGATCAAATCAAATTAAATATTTTATTACAATCTAATGATTATTAAATTATTTGTATTTGTTTTCTCTGCATTCTGGTATTGCTTTTATCGTTTGTGCATTTTGTTTTTCTCTTAACAATACTTCTATTAATTCGGCTGTGATAATTATTTAGTCAACTTTTGTACCAGTTTCACTAATAAATATGGATGTTTATTGACAAATAAATAGTTTGTTTTTCTATCATTATTTAGCAGAAATCTACAAATCAGAGAAATTAAAAGTGTTCATATTTTCCATTATTATCATGATTCTTTATTTGAAATAGACTGAAAGAAAAACCAATAGTCATGTTATCTAAATGTACATATTAAAGAGACAGTAAAATTTATAGCATATATTGACGGTATCACTTTAAAATTTCCATTTTGAAAAAGTCGGTAATAGGCTGAAGGTACACGAAGAAAATATAGGGTACTTAATATGCTGTACCCATAAGTTCCTTTTCATTTTTGTAATACAAAACATCGAATTGTCAATAAAAAATACACTAATTTAAGCGGTACGTTTTCTTTATATACATTTATTTGCTCAGAAAATTATGGAAATGCATTACAAAATCATCTGGTTTGTGGTAATAATAAAACCGAGAAGAATTTTTGACAAGATATTAATGGCGGCAAAAGAATATAACAATGATAATGACAAAATAATCCCTATTCCAATCAGCATTTATGTCGTGTTGTTACTACTACTATTAGAATTATTATCATTATCACAATTTGTTACAGAGGTGTCAATTGAGGAAATGGTCGCCGGCCCGATTGATTCCATTGGGCGGATCTTTTTAGTGCGGCCCCCACGAGGCTGAAAAAAATACATGGAGCGAAACAAGTTGTTATATTTTATAGTAGGGACCAACAGTTATTTCATTGTAGACTATTCCTGCTAACAGGAGAGCATCTATACAAGTATTCTAAATAACTGGGCATCATTAGACGGTTTCTTGTACTAACTTGGTGTTTTAATTTGGACTACAAAATGTGTGATTTTAAGCTAAAAAAGATGGAACTTTCACATTCCTACTTCTGTCATAAAAATTAATTAATCGAGGACAATGAGAAATACTGGGAAAGCAGCGAAAGTCAGTCAGTTTACTATCTGATTGCCCAAGAACACTGGAGGGAACTGGCACTTGGACGGTATCTACCTCATAACATTACACACAAAACTTATTGAAGAAACAATTGTGATTGAGGCTTACTTGTTCAGCCCAAGCCGCTTGACGTTTTCGTTCAAGCAAATCTTCATCAACAGTACTGATATCTGATACGCCCTGAGGATGCGAAATTGATTTTGTGGAATTGAAACCACTTGATGATGGTTGTCCAGTTACATGTGCCTCAGCGTTAGCATTTGAAAAATTACTTACAGTTTCAGAGGCTATTAGTCTTTTGGATGCCTGGTTCTTAGCTGGACGACCACGTTGAGGTTGTAACCGTCTACGTATCTGAAGTCTAAATCAGAAAAATACATTAACATTAATTATTATCGTAATATGAAAATGGTCAAAAATAAGGGAAATGATCGTCTATTTCAAATAGATAAATGAGATATGGCAAAGCTATAGAGACAAAACATTTTCTGTCAAATAATCTTAATAAGTGACCATGTACCATTAATAGGTTATGCGTAATCACATCTTAGAAGGTAATAAGGCTTGGCGGGAAAAATAACGTCAATTGCGAGGATATTGTGTCACTATGGCACCAAAGGTTTATTTGCATAGGATACCTTTCATTCTAGTATCTCTATTACTAGTATATATGCTTTGACAACATACAATCGGTTTACAAGACATAACGCAATGACCATGGAATTTATGTTAAATTACCGTCTGCTAGTTCATCACGGCTGTATGGATGATCCTGAATTTGTGTAGCTTAAGTCAATGAATTATCAGATATAGCTGGAACACAATGGCTGTTATGTCCGTATGGTGGTTTTTCGTATTTAACATGAACATTGAGAGATATGAAATTTGTCTAGGTGAATAATTAGCAAAAACGTGAGTATTTAGAACTGTATCAAGGCGCAACTAGCAGCCAACAATAAACTAACCGTTTTACCAACTCATCATCATCAAGTAACAAAGAAACCATATCAGATGAAGTCATATGTTCTGTGGGACTTGACGAATTTGTTACATTTGACAATAAATTGTTTAATCCTTCTTGACCTGATTGGATTACCATTTGTTGCATGGCACGTTTCTCTTCTGCACGACGCAACATACGACCTTCGACTGTATTTTTACAGATAAGCCTATAAACTGTAACCTGAAATATAAAATTATAAGTAATAAATGAATGAACACTGATAACACTTTTTTTATATTTGGTGATGCTATAGAGGACCAGATGAGAAATAATGATGGTTCAACATTTCAATTGTTATCCTAAATTGATTTGATGCAATGAAGAGAAACGAAGATCCATTGGTTGATTTTAGACACCTTTTGCTAAGCATTTGTTAGTATTAAATTTGGTGAACATGCCACATAACAAATTAAGATGGATTTCCTTATTATATCAAATCTCTCAATAGTTAATCAGTTAGTAAAATGGTTCTGAGAAGAAATTTCTAGCTTGCTCAGGCCAATATTCTATGATATCTAGTTTTCTGTCGTTAACTACATTCATTAAAAAAAACCTTGGCTCCCGTTAATCGACACTGAAATTTCTACATGAAGGGAATCCAAGACTTAATTTAGTCCTCAATAATTTCATCTTTGGCACAGTGTTTTTTGTCTCGATGAATCGTCACAGAACAAAGTAGTCAACTCGAATACATGAATAATTGAAGACAATGTCACCTATAAGGATAACCAATTACAATCAAGGCCACTGGAAAAAATTGATTTAAGACTCACGGTTTAACTTAAATGTTCACTTCTTAATAAAGCAAGCGCTGATGACGTTATCTAGAACAACAGTGAAAGTTACCCAATTAAACCATCTAGCTTAGAGATTTTTACATCAGTAAAACATATATCTGAGCTGTAAATGATCTTCATCATTTAAATATTGTGATAGTGATCTACATGAAGTAGTTTTCTTTAAGTTAGATATTGATCTTTTGACACACTTTCTAAAAAAATATTCAGTCCGTTTAAAATAGTGAAAAAACTACGAGCGTAAAGATATAAAAGTATAAAAGAAACATACAGGCTTTGTTTGACCTAGACGATGTGCACGATCCATTGCTTGTTGATCTACAGTTGGATTCCAGTCAGAATCATAAAATATAACTGTATCAGCTGCAGTTAAATTAATACCAAGGCCACCAGCACGAGTTGACAGTAAGAATACAAACCAACGCGGATTAGTCTGCCATTGAGCAACCATATCTCTACGATCGGATAAACGTGATGAACCATCTAATCGTAGATAAGCATGTTTACGATATAACATAAACTCCTAAATAAGTGATAAATATAAAAACATCACGTTAGTAGTCAAAAACAAGTCATAACTTGGAACTGATGAAAAACACGGTAAATATAAGCCTTATATACATGATTTAATCACCTATGTATAGAAATCGAACAGTCACAAATGAAAGGATACGTCCATTTTCAACGGTAAACCAAGCAAATTCATCAACTGTAGACAAAAATAGAGGAGAATTCTAACTCTTTGAAGAACTGGTTGTGGAATAATATATAGAGTCCATTGTAGATCAACTAACTCCGCCTGAAGTCCCTCCGGTAGCTACTGTCGGTCCCAAGCCCGGATAAAGGAAGAGGGTGGGGCATGGGGTTAGCGTCCCCATCCCGTAGAAAACTAGCTCGCTAAAAAACGCTAACCATAAAAAATTATTCAAACCTTTTAAACTCTGCCCTGGGAATCAGAAGGTCTTCATTTAGAAGAACTATGACGCCTTATGATGAAAGCCGAATTCCTTCGGAAGTTACGAGGGCGATGCCCCTTCTGACAACCAGAGCAACCATTTATTTAGGTACATGGAATATTCGTACAATGTGGGACACGGGGAGAGCCTTCGAAATTGCTGCAGAAATGACAAGATACAACCTGGAGGTGCTTGGGACCAGTGAAACACATTGGAGGCAAGTTGGACAACAACGACTAACTTCAGGAGAGCTCCTGTTATACTCTGACCATGAAGAAGGAAATGCCCCACATACACAAGGAGTTGCATTGATGCTGTCCAAATAAGCACAAAAGGCACTTATAGGATGGGAATCTCATGGACCAAGGATCATCAACGCCTCCTTCAAAACAAATAAAGAGGACATTTCAATGAACATCATCCAATGCTATGCGCCTACCAACGACTACAATGAAGACGCTAAAGAACAATTCTACGATAAGCTGCAGTCAATCGTGGAGAAATGCCCAACAAAGGACTTGACCATTCTGATGGGAGATTTCAATGCCAAGGTTGAAACGGATAACACTGGATATGAAGACGTCATGGGACGACAAGGACTGGTAGAAAGGAACGAAAATGGTGAGAGATTTTCAAACCTATGTGCCTTCAATAAACTGGTTATAGGCGGCACCATATTTCCATATAAACGCATACACAAAACCACATGGACTTCACCGGATCACACCACACAAAACCCAATCGACCATACTTCCATCAACAAAACGTTCAGGAGGACTATAAAGGACGTGAGAACCAAGAGAGGAGCTGATATAGCATCAGATCATCACTTGCTGGTCGCCAAGATGAAATTGAAACTCAAGAAGCACTGGACAACGGGGCGGACAGTATCACAAAAATTTAATACGGCCTTTCTCCAGGATACTAACAAACTCAACAAATTCAAGATAGTCCTCAGCAACAAGTTCCAGGCCTTTCATGATCTACTCAATGGAGAAGGAACTACTATGGAGAGCAACTGGAAGTGGATCAAAGAGGCAATCACTTCAACATGTCATTAGGTCCTGGGTCACAAGAAGCACCACCACAAGGAATGGATCACTGTTGATACACTGGATAAGATTCAAGAAAGAAGGAACAAGAAGGCAGCAATCAATACCAGTCGAACAAGAGCAGAAAAAGCCAAGGCACAAGCTGAATACACAAAAGTTAACAAACAAGTGAAGAGGAGCATCAGAACCGACAAAAGTAAATATGTGGAAGATTTAGCAACGACGTCGGAAAAGGCTGCAAGAGAAGGAAATATGAGACAACTGTATGACACGACAAAGAAACTCTCTGGAAATTGCCGCAAACCAGAACGACCAGTGAAAAGCAAGGAAGGCGAGGTAATCACCCACATTGAAGAGCAACAAAACAGGTGGGTAAAACACTTCAAAGAACTCTTGAATCGACTGGCTTCACTGAACCCAGCCAACATCGAAGCAGCACCCACGGACCTCCCAATCAGTTTCGGCCCACCAACAATTGAAGAAATCAGCATGGCCATCAGACAAATCAAGAGTTCCAAAGCAGTGGGACGAAACAACATTCTAGCAGAGGCACTAAAAGCAGACGTAGCGGCAACTGCAAGGATACTCCACATTCTCTTCAATAAGATTTGGGATGAGGAACAAGTACTAACAGACTGGAAAGAAGGACTTCTGATCAAAATACCGAAGAAAGGCGATCTCAGCAAGTGTGATAACTACAGGGGCATCACTCTTCTCTCAATACTGGGAAAAGTCTTCAACAGCGTATTGTTAAACTGGATGAAGGGCTGCGTAGACGCCCAACTTCGTGACCAACAGGCAGGATTCCGTAAGGATAGATCGTGTACAGACCAAATCGCAACTCTACGGATCATTGTGGAACAATCAATTGAATGGAATTCATCACTCCACATCAACTTCATTGACTACGAAAAAGCATTTGATAGCGTGGACAGAACAACACTATGGAAACTTCTTCGACACTACGGCGTGCCTCAGAAGATAGTCAATATCATACGGAGTTCATATGATGGATTACACTGCAAAACCATGCATGGAGGACAGTTGACAAAGTCATTCGAACTGAAGACCGGTGTTAGGCAAGATTGCTTACTCTTTTTGTGGCCCGTTTGATCTGACTCCATTTAGAGTGTATCTATGTTTGCTATCGCTGATTCTCGGATATCATCGTCGACTTAAATCGCGTTATCCAATAACGGAATTAAATAAGTCGAATAACGAGAATTGATTTGTGGATACATATATTTTGTATATGAAGTGAATGAAACAGAGCCAAGCAAAATGACGCACAGGGAGGATGGCTGGGAAGCCAACTCCATTTCAGTCAAGCGTAACTCAATATTTATAGTCAGAAAAAATAAAGCTACAGACATGTGATTAATAGGATAAGAAGGGCACACACATATACGCTCATATAAAAACAGTCAAAACTGACAAGCGAATAATTGACAAGGTCAAAATATGGCTCAAGTAAAATGAATAGGATGGGATGTCCGAAAGCTCGAATAAGGTATATGGGCTTGGCATAATAACTGACACTACACTCTCACCCTTTCTCTTTCTCCTGGTGATCGACTGGATCATGAAGACGTCAACATCTGAAGGGAAGCACGGGATACAATGGACATCTAGGATGCAGTTAGACGATCTAGACTTCGTAGATGATCTGGCCCTTCTATCCCAAACGCAACAACAAATGCAGGAGAAAACGAACAGTGTGGCAGCAGCCTCAGCAGCAATAGGTCTCAATATACACAAAGGGAAAAGCAGGATTCTCGGATACAACACAGAATGCATCAATCCAATCAAAATTGACGGAGAAGATTTGGAAGATGTAAAAACCTTTACGTATTTGGGCAGCATCATGGATTAACAGGGTGGATCTGATGCAGATGTGAAGGCACGGATCGGCAAAGCAAGAGCAGCATATTTACAACTGAAGAACATCTGGAACTCAAAGCAACTGTCAACCAACACCAAGGTCAGGATTTTCAATACAAATGTCAAGACAGTTCTACTGTATGGGGCAGAAACTTGGAGAACTACGAAAGCCATCATCCAGAAAATACAGGTGTTTATTAACAGTTGTCTACGCAAAATACTTCGGATCCGTTGGCCAGACACTATTAGCAACAACGAACTGTGGGAGAGAACAAACCAGATCCCAGCGAAGGAAGAAATCAGGAAGAAGCGCTGGAAGTGGGTAGGACACACATTGAGGGAAGCACCCAACTGCGTCACAAGACAAGCCCTCACATGGAATCCTCAAGGCCAAAGGAAACGAGGAAGACCAAAGAACAAATTACGCTGGGAAATGGAGATAGACATGAGAAGAATGAACAAAAATTGGATGGAATTAGAAAAGAAGGCCCAGGACAGAGTGGGTTGGAAAATGCTGGTCGGCGGCCTATGCTCCATTGGGAGTAACAGGCGTAAGTAAGTAAGTAGATCAACTTATTTGTAAGAAATAAATACCAATAAATCTGAGCAACAAAACAAATAAACGTTGGACTTATAAAAAGAGTAAAGGAGAGAAAGGTACTAGCAAAAAATAAGTAGAATTATGAAAACGAAAACAGTTTATAATAGGAGATACAGTTCAGTTAAAAATGCGACCAGAGAAACTTCTTTCATTTCCATCACCACGTACTTTCTTCAGAACTATTTTAAGAATGCTATCGATGGTTGAGTTGAAGAACCTCATTTCTAGATTGCAACAATGGAGAGAGGTGATTTTATGCCTTCACTTTACTCAGTGTTTGTGTAGTTTTCAAGAGGTCACCATACTTATCATTAACATTCAGTGGTGTGAAAACACGGTCAATAAATCCACGAACTAATCGAAAATAACCTGCTTCCCACGAATCATACTTTCACGGGTTTTGAACAATCAGTGAAGTATTATGGAAACCAATAGTTCGATTTCAATCTAACGTAGAATTATTCCCTTATAGTTGTTGCATAAATTAAATAAGGACTTTTTTAAAAGATGAAGATGGCCGTCGCTTCATTTAGTAATGCCGGGACACTATTTTCTACATCTTTTAAAACAAACTAGTCAGCTCTCTGACCAAACGTTCGCTACCTTTAAAAAGAATCGAGGCTCGGTCATCTGGATCTGGTGACTTGGGTGCCACATAAATTGTGCTTTGAGGAACTCCGTTGTGTTACTTCCATCTGTCGTCGACGGGTAGGGAGGAAAGACAGTCTAACAAAAGATGATGAGACAGCATATCATCCAATCTGTTTTGTTGAAGAACTCTGTCACATATTTGCTCTTCGCTGAGTTTTAATACACAAGCATAACTACCGATACCTAATTGCTGTGGTATTTCTTAACCTTAAAGTAGCATTAAACTTTATCGATCAACAGGTTTCGTGGAAGCATCTGTCTTCCATAGATGTACCATAAAAATACGTAAAACTTGTGTGTTTTTTAATTCGTGAACTATTGGTTGAGTCATAGATTATGGTTGACGGTCATCAGAATTCATTACATCAAGCGATTTTCTTTGGAACTTTCGATTTTCTTAACTTATTTGAATTTGTTATGCACATTTTTTCGGGAATAAAGCTTTTATCGTCCGACTTTTCAGGAACTGGTCATCTTTCACGAGATTCACACCCTGACTTGGAATAAGCATATCATAGTTTTATTCAGTGAAAACGCTGATAAAATACTGTCGTCTTGAGTAATAATATGAGCATGTTTGAGATAGGTTCCTCTATCTCTAAATGCAAAATGTTGTTACAGGAACGGTCTGCGTCAACGTCTGAACTAAAGACAGGGATTGAGAGTAGTAGAGCACGTTAATCACTTCAATTGTCTTGGAAGTCTAATTAATCATGACGTGTTGGTGTCTGATGAAATCTCAGTGCGGATTCAGAAAGCTCGGCTAAATGTTTTCACCGTGTGTCACTTATGGGAGTAGGTGAGGTATCGATCTACCATCCAAAACATGACTTCATTTGGCGACAGAATATGGTCTAGGTTAGAATCCAATGGGGAACATTAGTTTCCTTAAAATAGAAGATATATCATCATAAAGAGCATCAGGAAGAACGAAACAAGAGTCGTGTTCGTCACTACTCGACAATTGTGTTAAAAAAGAATCCTCAAACTCACTTTGTGTTTAGAGGCGCAGATGATCATTCCTGAACTCAATAAATTCTGTACAGAATGTGAAATTCAATAATGGTGTGAAACTCTAGTTTGAATATATAAGTGTTGTAGTATACCAGCTTTCCAATGTTTCCTTCAATATCAAAGTACAAAATCAACAGAAATGCTCCAAATAGACTAGTAGAGAATTCTCTACCGTAATTAGGGAAATACGTATAGACAAAAAGATCATAAAAACACTTTATCAACCCAGCTACAATATCTAACCTCTTGAGACCGAAATAACAATAAATGAATAATTTTCTGAAAAAAAAACAAGTCAAATCAAATGAGACTAACCTCTAATATATCAATCATACGTGTCATTTGTGAATAAATTAATACACGATGTCCATTTGATTTCAACTCAGAAAGAAGGTTATCTAATGTAGTTAATTTACCAGAATCTGAAATGCGTGTAGCACGTGAAACAAGCTCCAGACTTCTAGGCAATGGGATGGTCACATTGTACGATAATGAATAAACATGTGATGTATCATAATTACATGTATTTACAAACGGTTTAAGTGGATTAATTAATACCTAAAACAAACAATTAAAAAAGCTAAATTAGAATTTCCTTATATGTTGCACAAAATAGGGTGCCCTATATGAGTAAGCAAAAAACAATGCTGGATTTAAAAATCATTTACTGAGTCAAAATTATATAAGTTTTGGATATTTGCACATCGGGATGAAAATGTTTCTGAAGGACATATCAATGGTATGCTAGTCAAAAGCTTGAGTGAAACATGAAAATGTGTGATTTCGATAAATAGATGCAGATGATTGTTAGCAATTTAACAATTCATGTCCAATATGTTAACTAGTCAAATTCCTTCGTTTTCAATTCAAAAACACCGTGCAGTTGTGGTTGGATGGATCGTTGTGGAGTAAAAGTAAATCATTTAGTTCTTTTTCTGAAGCGTGTTGGCTAATTTCTCCCGACTCAGTATGTTATATAGCCCTTTACTAATTCAACCAGTTGGAGCCATAAAACCACGGGAACTATATTATAATTAAGAGATTAAGTTGGTTTGTTAAAATAATTTAATTCTAAAGAATGAAGGTGCTATAACTCGCGCTGTTTGGTTTTGAGGAGTAGCTTTTCGTTAATCAATACACACATGTCTGATAATTCTTTGTAGGTTGTATTTAGAGAGGAAGCATAGTTTACGAAGATCGTTGAATTATAGGCATCACTATTTCCATTAAGTTTTGAAAATGACTTGTGGTAGTTTTTAATTACAAACAACTGCGATATTATTCTAATATGGACACGACTCTATGGGAGTGAGATAAACAGGACAACTAACACACAACACTTCAAAAATAATCCCTAATACAATGAAAAACTGAGAATTTATGAGATTAGGAAAAAATCCATACTCAAAGAGACATAATCGTAGTGGCACAAACATGCAAACATAACAACTAACAATGACCTTGGGACACAACGAAATTAGCAAGCTAACAACAAGAACAATCAATCAAATAAAATCAACTTCAGTGAGTAAATGTCAACTAGAAAGAAATAACTAACATTTATTTACAAGAGCCAAATAAATTGAGGAGTATCCTCCAAAAGGGGCGCACAGAATAGGGTGAACATTAGTAAAGGTGATTTTTTTTATTTACATTGTGAACCTTTCGTAATCCAATCTAATATACTGTTATATCTAGAGCTTGTATTCTTGCCATACCACGTATAACTTGAGCACTCGAACGCTAGAACCCTCCAAATCGCAAGTTAGAAGATAGAGGACGAGTAGGAGGGAATCTTATTCCAATCAGTGTCAAACACGGTACAAAACATTTAGGTATTTATAATTTTTTAGTAAAAACGAAATCATCACTACAATCATCTAATTCACATGTTGTGGTTTTCAGCATTGGTCCAATCGGAAAGCCAGACGTCGAGACTCTGGAATGTTCTTCCAAAAGATGATTAGATGAAGTGTATTCGACTCTTTCCGAGCTTCTTAGGGTTCCCGAGGGCCATCTCTAAATATACATAAATGTGAAAGCTCAAACTTCATGCTATTCATCGTAAGTAGTCTGGTATCGGTTTATTGCTGTTGTGGATGCGGAGGAATAGACCAATAATTATCATGTTAAGTCCAATGGTGTCCTTGGACTCTAAATGGACATTTCCTATTGGTTGATATCTGTTCACTTGTTGAATATTGTACAAAATGTTGTTCTCTATTTTATGGTACGATGTGGTATGCTTGATTGGTAATATAAACAAAGTATGTTTGAAATATAATGATTCATATCTCAGAGGTTGTGATTTGTGTTCTGGACTCAACTGACTGGGCTAGACAGGGAAGTGGGGCCAATCGAGACTCTAGGCCGTCCGTACGTGTTTACGTGTCACTGCAATCGATCGATAAGTACGCTGCTCTCTAATTCTCCAGTCAAGGACACAACAATTAGCACAGGGTAAAAATCGACCGCAACTTAAAGCCATAACAATTGCACTAAGTTTCTACAACCAGTTTAATACCTGCTGCTACCTTCTGATCACTCCTTTTTACATGCTGTTGCTGGATACCTACAACTAAATGTTAAGTTTTTTAATCCATCTAGATTATTTAGTTTTTAGAGCATCAATAGATTTCCATATGCTCGGATAAGCTGCACCAATGAGTTGGCTAAATCCTTTATACCATTCCTACACCAGATTGTTCGTTCTAAGATCTCCCAAAAAGGGAATTATGGGTCTTCAATTTGGACTCAGTTTATTCACTTTGTTGAAAGTGAGCACATACAAATTCGTAATCATATGAACTGTTTAGATCTGAAATTTGAGCTGATATGACAATACGACAAACTCGCAGATAACATAACTACAATTTAATATGTTGCTTCTGTTGATAAAGCTGTCGATTACTTTTTCCCCATACACGACTGTTTGTAATAAATCCATAGCTTGTATGAGAGCGTTCATTTGTTAACGCAATCGATAAGATTGGCAAATACCATGATTTATCGAGAATCAACTGAAAGTGAACATGAAACTGAAATGATTTTAATAAAAACGCTGCACGTCATGATCTCTGTGAAACATGAATACTTATAATATTAAGTTTCAAACTAAATCCACTGTCTCTTAGTTTCATCAATGCTTCAGTCGATTCTGCCTCGTGACATTACTTTAGGATTGCTATGAATGAGTTGGTTTCGAAGATCATGAAGTTATTCTCTTAATACATTTAACTAACTCTATTTGTGAACTATTGAAAATCAGAATCAACGCTATAATCTATAAAGATTAAATTCAAAAGAGGAAAAACAATCAACATCCTGTTCTAGCGTAATACCGGACACAAAGTAGAAGGTATGTTAATTACTGTACGAAGGAGGATGTAAGATACAAAGGTTATTAAGTAAATATGAGCAGTGGTTATGCAAACTTAAATTTTCACTTGTAGTTCATAAAATTCGGACGACTGGAAATTCAAATGATACTTAACACCATGAATAGATTAATATTTTAGTTATCAATAACAAACTAAATGCGATAGAAACATACTTTGTGAGTCGTTGCAGCTGAGACAAAGTTCGGAATATAAGGTCTTATTCCAGGACAATGAATGAAAACTGATGGTACATTCGATACAGTGGTAGACGATTCATATTCAACTTGACGAAGGAGAAGACCTTGCAGATAAACTAATTGTGCAACTGAATGACGAGAAGTATGCACATGACTCATAGGGAATAATGAATTCAGCTGTAATAAACCAGAAGCGTTTTTACTCATTGTAATATCTTCATTGAAATAGTTGCTTATTATAATACGTGCCGAGTGGCTATGAGAAATAGTTTGAGAATCGGAGTGTGAAAAACCCCCAGTTTGAATAATTTTTACATATTCATTAACAGATAAACCTAATAGGCGGGTGAATGAAAAGCCTACAAAACAAAAAGGAAATATCAAATACAGCAAACGAACTAAGGTCATATGTACAAAATCATTATTAACATGGAAACATCAGACAAACAAATACGTACTATAAACAATAAGGAAAATTGAAGCCTTTTCAGTAGTTGTGTGGTGTGTGCTACTGATGTCGACAGATATAAGCAGTACGTATCATCAATCGAAAGTGAAATGTCTGGAGGTAGAAGGTTAAGATCAAAGAAAAGAGAACGAGAACAGAGAGTGATTAGTGTGGAGACGAAGGAACAGTGAAGTTTGAGACAACTGATTGACGTTTTGTAAATGAAGAACTTACTGTATGGTTCTCAGATTTTACTAAGAGATTCTGTATTTTTGTGTTCAAATACATTTGGTTGTCCCCACTAGCGTTCTTGTTCACTACAGATGTACTAATTCCCTAAGAATATCTAAAAGATATTCATTCGAAATGATTCGTTACAATCCGAGTAGTATACATAACGAAGAATAAATGGACAGTAACTGCTAGGGTCTATTTATGAACTAATACTATACATATATTCTTATTTGGTAACTATTCAGCGATTATATTATATGCATATCTATATTCCTTTCATTATAAGCTTCCATTTGACCTATTGCCAACTATTATACTACTTACTATTCGCAAGCTATTCCCAATTTATTAGTTACAGCGTCTCACAATCACAGCCACTTTTTGGCTTGATTTTGTATGATTGTTATTTCCCATTTATGGTATGATACGATCTGCTTTGTTTGTATATTAACCAAGTATGTCTGAAATACATGATTCATACAGTAGAAACGGTGTTCTGAACTCAAACAGTCTGGGTTAGGTGAGAAGCTACTACCTCGGAGGTCCAATACGAACTCAGGGTTGAATCTAGGCTGCTCGTACTGGTTCATCCGTCATTGGTCTGGTCATATAAGTCGGTGTTTCTAATTGGCGATCTAGTCACGCCATATATTAACGGGTTATAAGGACACAACAATACGCATGAGAAGAAATACGTTTTACGAGAACACACAAGTCAACTTCATAAAAATGTTTACCTATTACCTAGTACTGGTTCTAAATAAAATAGTCTATTTTATCTGCAAAACATCGTCAGTTTGATACTACTAGTAGTAGTCAATGTCAGATTGATTATGTTAATAAATTCATTCATAAGAAGGATGAAAACGATGTTTTAAATTCATAAATAGGCAGTACTCTATGGTGATGTGGTGTAGAAAATTACGTTGATGCACATTCAACGCCAGATCCTATGCTGACTATGACTGACAATGTGAGAAAATATTGTGCGATATTAAGCAGAAACATTTTATTGAAAAACTATAAATCTGACCTATCATATGAAAAGTTAGTCGTATTGCAATATTTAGTCCCCAAAAGAATAAATTACAACGATAATCTCACAGTTTCAATTGAAGTAACTCAACCATTCAGCTAAACCAACATAATGATGCTTAGGAAACTGATATAATTACATTGAGAGCACAAATATAAGTTACTAACTAGACGTATAGACTAACAAGCTTAAATTAAAAGTTATTCGGTTTATGAAATACAATCTTTAAAAATTATCACTTACATTTAGATGGGTAATTTGTACATGGCCTACTTTGATTCACTATACAGCTTGGTCCTAAATCTGGTTCCTCATTGTCATGATGCCATAAGTCCTCATGTATATAACAAGGATGATGAAGATAGAAATACTTTGCAATAATGATAAATAAACATATTGAATAACAGTCATATAAAGATATCGGACATAGAGAAAATAGACTGTTCAAACTTTTAGCTCTCCAACTAAATAATGACAAAGCGTCTACAAAATAGAAGAGTTGAAGAAAAACGGAACTATCCTTTTTAAAATGACAATTTATAGAGTTTTGGATCATTTGAAAATATACTATATTTTAAACTGACATGAAGTTTAAGGAGTCGATCTCATATGAAGATTATAGGTAAGCACTAATAATCAATCATAAATTATGACAGTTACAGTGATCAAAACAATCTTTTAAAACATTAATTTTCTCCAAAAAGGGGAATTTTTATTCATATAGATGATTAATATTAGAGCATAACGTAATGAACGTCTTCCAAACAGATGAACAGTGAAACTCTTTTTAAAAAATGAATACAAACTGAAGAATGGGTGTATTTACCATCAAATATGTGGCTGTAGTTCTTTAATGAACTAATCAACCAGGCCACTTGGGTATGAGTTACATTCTAAATGTGAGGACTAATAATACTACACAGACCAAATTAAGTGGATCAGGATTCGAACCTGGGACTTAGTGGCTGAAAGTTGAACACTCTAAGCACTAAGCCATTGCTCCATCAAAAATATAACTTTCGAATAACTGAACTATCTAAATCACTTTAATCCTACTAGTTACCAAGGATATATTGACTCAGCTAAGAATTGACCCACTAATTATTCATAAACTATGGGATTTTTTATCGATATTTTTAATGATAATACGACTGTCTTAATGCCATTTACTTCAATGATTACAAGATTTCTCTGTTGGAAATTAGTGTAGTCAGTCAGTCATCTACAACGTAGGAACAGGTACAGACATAGATAGGTCCAAGTTGCAATACCTCATTGGCACAACAAAGTGAACATCAAATTCACAGAATCAATTACGTCAATGGTAGTGATATACAAAAGAAGATTGCATGTAAGGATATGATACGGGGAAAAAGAATTAGTTCATAAAAAGAAAGGTATAAAGTAAATTAAATCTCACGGTCTAAAAAAATATTTTAGTGGAGATCAGAGTTAATGATATCTACGGCAAAAATAACCAAATTATACAAATGATATCAGTAATTAATGAATAATCGCTACTAACAAATGACTCTCACAGGCAAGTGGAAAGATCATGCATGGGACAAATGTCTACTTTTTGAGGACATTGAAGCTAGAGATAAATAAATCTAAACAAATTTAAATCAGACAGCTGAACAATTCATAAAACTGAACTATTTAAGGAATATTGGGGACTAAAAAAATGCAAATAATTATTAATGAGAGATGATTAAAATACAATGGGTTATGCATACGACTAAAAGTAATAACTGTTTTACATACCATCTTCGTACAGTAAATTTGGAAGCCTCCACATTGCATATTGATTACGATTGTTATTGTAAGCATTATACTTAATATCTGAATTATAGAATCGACAACTATTCGGTTCCATTTGACCAGTTATACAAGAGAAACGAACATCACGACGTTCCCATAAATCTGGATGATTGCATACTTTTCTTAACTGCATCACTAAATTAATTAAATGGGCTGTAGCTGACGAAGACGATGACAATGCATTAGTATTATCCAAATTCGATGAAAAACTATCTGATATTCCATTCGCAGACATGATGGAGCTAAGATCTTCAAGACGAATCTTACTACGTAATCGTTCATACAATATTTGTTGTCGATGACTTAATGGACAATATAACATAATCTCAGTCTACATATTTTTTTTTCAAAAAAAGAAGAAATAAACAGAAGGGATTAGCGGTTAGTCAATATTGAAACTGATAAGAATTACTCAATAGGTTCTGTAAAAAATGTAAATAATATTAGGTTATATAGTTGCGATTCGACAACTTATTGACTGAAACAGAAATTCAATCGAGTGCATTACATATCAATTAAAAGTAATTTTCAGTTAGCATTATCCTACCTCTAGTATATATTGAGAATCGTAGTTTAAAACAACTGAATATATAAAGGATTGATGTCGTAACCGTTAACATCAAATTAAATTCTACATTCATATTCAAACATGATTAACTAATGAGTAGTAAATGAATTATAAAATTGTATATATAGTAGGATTTACAATATAAACAATCTTAAATTAATAAATTAAAAAGAATAGCATGTAATAGTTACTATACGTTAAATGATGAGTTGTTAATTCAATAATAACTAACAATAGATACAGAAACGAATACATTATTAGCCCAACATTAACAATTTTCTTTTCTTTTTATATCACAAACAATCCTTACTTCACATGTTCCAATTTTAAATGATGTAATCTGCTTTAAATCTGGTCAATTTTATGGATTATTAATTTGGATTTATGAATTGTAGAAACTGATGAGAAATTATTGAAAAGAATATTCTTCGTTCATATAATTATGTTCCAATATATACAATTGCTTATTAAGAGATACAATGAAAAAGCCATGATTAATACTATTATTGTTTGTTTTAGTTCCAACGCCTCATACATTTATTATGATGTCAAATTACAAATGATTACTCTAAAATCACTATTCCATTTCTAGCCCCATTGAACTCAATCTTGAAGCTACAGTTTTATAAATCGAACTGTGCATTTAATTTATCGTACTGAACAATGTGATTGAAAAAAAAGAAACGAAATTTCAAAACTCTACATAGCTAACGTCGAAACTGAGTTGACTAATGCATCCATGAATCTTTCGACATAAGGTTAGATTCCTTTAGGCTTTTTAGCTTGACAATGAACAGTAACCAAAGGACAGAGAAATCAGAAGTAATAAAACGAGCTAAATAGTGTTTAAATGTTCACTACAAATAAATAATTACGCTAAACGTAGTGAATAAATGAGAGATCAAGCTTACCTTAGTAGATATTTCATGTTCAACTTCAGTTTTTGTTCTACGTAACATGAATGGTTTTAAAATTAAATGTAAACGTGACAATTGATTTTCATTCAATTTTGAAGTTATTAAAGATCCAGTTCCACTGCTACTAACGATACTTCCTCCTCCCGCTGCTCCTCCACCACCAGTTCTAGCTGTAACACTGGCTTGAGACTCAATATCACGTGAAAACCAATTAGCAAATTCATCATGTGAATCAAATAATGTAGGCATAATAAAATGTAATAATGCCCATAACTGAGTAAATGAATGAATATAAAATATATCAAAATAATGAAATAAAAACTGATGGACAATAATTAATTAGTTAATAAGTATTAAAAAGCTTTTAACTAAGATATCCTTATTTGTGAAATATGGCTGGCTTAGTTTTAATGGATGTATAATTTAATGATTTAAGAATTTTACATTTGACAACTCAAGATCATTACATAGTTTAATTAATTATATAACATAATACATATGATGTAAGGCTTCGTGCACGAGCCTACATAAGCTTTTATTGTTGGAGTTTTACTTCGAATGAAGCTACTATAAGTATGTTATTCAACTTCAATTATGAGTCAGAAATTTGAAATGCTATTTACAACAAAAGCATTATTTAATTTAACGACTGATGAGGGTTTATTTGAAGGTTATATTCACCATAAACCGATATAAACTGGAAACAACTGAAAACCACAAATGATATAAATAATAACTTCAAACAAGTATTACACCAATTACTGATAATTTTTGTGACAAGTAATAAACGATTTGGTTGATTTACGCTATAAAACGATCATCATTATTATTATCAAGTGGATAAAGGTTTAGATCAATTCATTATTGGTCAATATTATACTGAAGCTTCTAACATAAAATTCAGTAGGTCTTCCCTGGATATAGTGGTAAGGAATGATATTATATCCGCAATGAGTCGTGGAATTCCCAATTTGTGATTCTCAGCTTTATAGGAACCAGAAACCATACATTAAATATGCAGCTAAAAGATCAGACAATTCTATTCAACGAAGGAGGTAAGTTGAATAGTTTATAATATTGTTTCCTGAAGAGCGGCAATAAGTACTTAATGTCCATCTTTCAATTATTGTAGGTTTGTTGAAGGTTAATGAACTATTATCCCGACCGTTGTTGCTACCTTGACGTGGTGGTCGGGCTTGCCTATCGTGATGAAGCAACCGAGCTATACTGGCTGGAACAACCGTTCCTCAAGGTCCTACCATGTCAGACAGGTCGGTTGAAGAGCGGTAAGACTAAAAGCAACAAACCCAAGGTCCGAAGGCGAAGTCGTACTGCTGACTGTACAGAGGTGTGACAGCAGTAAGGTGTTTCCTTCAGACAACCAGCATGACAGCGATGCTGCCTTCCCACAAGGAGGGGTGGGGTTAGAAAAGGTCGACCCTAAAAATGCACACCTCGCCTTATCCCACGGATATCCGTCTCCGGCGGTAAGGTCTCAATAAGTACGGAGCTAACACAAAAATTACCCATAACAAGGTCGTGTGTGACCGACCTCAAGCAGTTGTCCCTTGGGCACTGCGGTCACGCTCTCAGGTCACTAAGACCACCTTTAATCCAAATTCCTTTTCAGGTACCCCCAGAACAACCCTTCCACGGTGTGGGCAACCGGGAAGTGAAAAAACTGAATGAACTATTATTCGTCGGATTGTGCATTATAATCAAGAATGCGATTTATCTACGTGACGACAATAATTCGTGGTAGCAAAGTGACAATAAATTACTCTTTCATAATCTCTAATAGTGTTCTTAAAAGCTTCAAGCGATTAAAACGCTACCAGATACAACTCAGTCAAGAAAACATACTCAGTGTCTGTAACAACGTTCGGAACTACATGGCTAATGCTTAGTAGGTTATTGACGTTCACAATTTGGAGGAAATGCAAAAATTGAAGGAATTATTCCCTTATCCTTTTTAAAACTATTCATTTTATTGGACGAAATAGCATGAAAAATTTCTAATTTTAAAGAAACTGTAAAAATCACTGTCATGTTACTCCTATGCAGATGTATGGATATTTAAATAAATGGTCCATGGTGAATGGATCGTTAGAATTTCCTTTCTATTAAGCGCGGTTGTGTTCGGTAGTAAGACACAAAGCCTCAGAAAATCACCTTTGATTGGGAAAACATTTTTGAATTATTTCGATATTATTATTGACCAGATGGTTGTTAAGTATAGCATGTACTGGTGTTACTAATTTGATTAGTAGATTTTCTTGTCTTACTGGATTATTTGGTCTTTTAGTGTAGCTTAGATGTTTTTTTGCACGAGTTGCGATTTCACGAGACGACTCTCTAACATAGAATCCATCAGAATTTACACATCATAATCTGTAGACACAATTCTGTAATCCAGGTAAAGAGGGTTTTATTTTTTTACTTGGCCTAAAGCATTTTGTAGTGTTAATCGTTTTATATGATGCTTTTGACTCTGTGTGATCAAAGAATTTGTTGTAATTCTTCTGTTGTGCTAAGACCATAGTGATAGTTACTTCATCCGAATATTTACACATTTAATCCTTTTCACATCTCACACCACTATCAAGTATTATTTATTTATTTGAACATATAAATATTGGTACAAGGGGGCACCGAATACATATGCGCTACACAAGTCACCTGATTTGTGTGGGCTATGACACTGCCTCGGCGCCCAGACCGAAGGAGGTGGTTTAATTAGGGGGCCACACCCGAAGCCTTCAACCTAAAGGTTTGATCCACAAGGCAGTGCAGCGACGTTAGGAGATGCAGTCCCATACGCCATTTGTTCCCTCAGAATCCTGGAGTCTATGTGCACCACTGGTTTAAATCAGGGTTTTCCAACTCCCCTAGGTGGATTCTCCATATCCACCAACTCGGTTAAAGCGCCAGACATTCGCTTTTCGTCCTCTCAATTTCGTAAGCGAAATCCCCGCTGAGAGAAGGCAGTGAATAGGACTTCCCTGACAGCGGCTGTATACGCGCGGCTATGTGAGACCATTTCGAGAAGGAGAGCTAACTCCCTCCACCCTCAGCCATACCAGGGCGTTTGGGGGCACTATCAAGCATACAAATATTTCTTACACTACTCTTCAACATGACGAATATCACATGTTTCATATCCACCAACATCCAGACACAAACGCAGGTAGATCTCAAACAAAAATCACTTTGACCGAATCAATATGTCATTAATATGATCTAACCTATTTTAATTTTGATTGCACTGAAGATATTCTGTTTTTCACGCTTTCTTAATTGTAGGCTTTCATTTGACCTATTGATTACGGTTGTATGTTTTTGCCGTTCGTTAATTTATTGTTCACCTGTTGTTCAGTTCTTATATCACTTATGACTCGGTTGTACATAAATTAAAAACATTGGTCTGATAAACACGACAGGTACTCGTAATTAGTGGATTTTATAATCTCGTGATCCGACGAGTGAATACATAAAGAAGTGAAGGTCATAACACCCATTGTATCTCAGTTTAAGAGGCTTTTTATAAGGTAGAATCAATACTTTTCAAGATCCAACCCAAGACCTGATTTTATAGTCGATGTGAATACATCGGTTATTACAAACTTTGGCAAGAAGTGACATAAGAAATTTTCATAAGATGTAAGCTATGGATCCATCAAAGTAGAAAAGTAAAGACAAATTTTCGATAGCCGTACTGAAACATAATCGACTGAAAATGTTCACTATTAAAGTCAAGCGCAAGGACACAACAAAGTGTAAAAGTTCATTTGAATCCCGTAGGTGGAGAAACGATTAACATAGTAGAATAGCACTAACTACCTAATTATATCTTACATTCAAAGTTTCATTAATTGATATCACTCTGTAATGCTAGATATGTTCAAACTGGACTACATGAACAAGCTACAATATTAGTCACTATTATTGTACTCACTTCTTGCATTGTATTCTGAATTGGAGTTCCAGTGAGTAAAAGACGATTTCGACATTTAAAAGATAACAGGATTTTCCATCGTAAGCTAAGAAGAAACAAAAAAAGGACTTGAAATTTACATAACGACAATCTATTTGTAGTTTTTTTAGTTATTTTAATACATAAAATATCTTCAACATTAACTGATTTTCAAGGTAAGTCTTTCCGATTACTCTAGATTTTTGATTGGGTTAATAGAAATAAGATTTACACTACGAAGTTCAGTACCAAAAAAACTTGAGGTAATGTAAATAGACAACTTACATGGTTAATAATGATGAGACAAAGTAATTCAACAGCGCCAAATAAATGTTAGGGCTTATTTCATTTCAGTAAAGTACAACTCTATTTTACTAATCAACGTATCCAACTACACTTCCAGGCATCAGACTAAGTATGGATACACATAAGTAAATTAAGATGATAAAAATAAGAACTGTTTGAATTGTTTTGAGGTATTTCTTTAACTTATGCAAAATACACTTTTGTTTGTTGATATTTTCATAACAAAAAGTCATACATGTACTTGTACTATAGACGATTAAACCACACAAAGCAAAACATTAAGGTCATGACTAAACAAACATGAAAGAATATACAAGAATACAATGTTAATCTTTGACGAACACTTCAAATCCCAGTCAATTTATAAAATAAATATACAAGTCCAAGTAAAGACTGTAGAAACCTTATCATGCATTCAATTCACTCGGGTTGTTGCAAAAAATTCCATTGAAATATTTTCATCTACCATAAGTGGACTGTTATCGTTTTTAGTAAAACTACACAATTAACGACCGAGAATAAGTTGAAGCAACTATGATTAAGCGAACGTAATACAGAAAAAAGAGATTACTAGCTGGTTACTACGGCAGAAAAGAGAAATCGATGATTTAAATCAACGACCAAAGTAAAAATTCAAAATTAATTCGACCAACATACCTTGATGTACTTTTAATAGCATGTGCTTCATCTAAAACAATGTAGGACCATGCGGTTTTATTAATGAATTTCGCATCTTGCAAAACAACTTGATAACTAGTTATAACTACATGAAGTTGAGAATCCTTAGTTCCAGCTTGTCCAGGATTAATATCACCAGATTCATCAAAAGATTCTGCATTAGAGGAACGTGTAGATGACCAAAATCGGCGTAGAACTTTACGCTCTGTTGGTGTACCCCAATAAGGGACTAGACGAAAAGCTGGAAGGAATTTAGCAAATTCCTGTGTCCAATTATGCAGTGTTGAAGCTGGAGTAACGATTAAAAATGGACCCCAAATGTTGTAATTCTTTAAAGAAAATTGAAAAAGAAAAACTAGAACTATTTAAAGTGAAATTCGCAGTCAGTAAAAATCATAAGCCTGAAGAATGATGATCAAAAATGTCTTCAGTATCGAATACTGATGTTATAATTCTCTTTTATTACAACCCAGATATTCCTACTGCTTAGTATTTTTGGACACAAATTCACTCGACAAGTCCCCAAATCAGAACACGGTTGAACAGGAAAGGAACTATTTTCTAAATAACAAGGGTAGATCGAAGTAAGAAGCACAATAAGAAAAACGTTAATATATTTAAAGATTTTACATGAGAAGATTCTAGAGTCTTCTCCAAGTACCAACTAGCGCTGACTGGATAAGAACCAACCAATCAATGTGCACCAACACAATCTATGTCCCGCTAACAACTGAAATATCAAACTGTTTTACTAAGATCCTTTTGAACCTCCCTTAGAGCTACAGCTAGTTCCAAACCCAGGTAAACGAGGACTGTGCGCGTGACTAACAACCACACTTCTTAGAAATCCTGGTACAGAATCTCGAACCAGAGAAAACTAAATGATCTTTTCCCTAGGAGGAGAAAGTTCTTTACACGGAAGTCATCACGTTTCATGGTGAAAGCTGGTTTCACTCATCTACATTATGTTCCTTTTTAGAGAATCAATGAGTCTGCATACACTCGGATGAGCGGCGCCACAAGGCCGACGCTCCTTCAGAAAAACAGGGCGACAATAAACATCGCATATGAAATTTTCAGACAATGTGAGACGGGAAGGTCATTTTAAGTAGCCCTAGAAATGGAGACATACAACCTGACCGTGCTTGGAACAAGTAAAGCCCGTTGGACACAAGCTGAACGAAAAAGACTGGCTTCAAGAGAAATGTTATTACATTCTGGTCACGAGGAATGAATTGTACTGATGCTCTACGACGCACAAAAAGACTTTGTAGTATGAGGATTTGACGGCTTTAGGATCATCAAAGCATCCTTTAAAGTAAAGAAGTAAAGAATTACAATGAATATCATACGGTACTACGTATACACCAATGGTAGCATCAAGGGCGATAAAGACCAGTTTTATAGGAGACAGCAGTCCATTCTAGAGAAATGTCACAAAAAGAGACCAGACGATACTGATGGGGAACCTGAACACTACGGTCGGTATGGAAAACACCGGGTATGAAGATGTCATAGGACGACATGGACCGGAAGAAACAAGAATGTTCTTAACAAAATAGCACCATTTTCCCCAACGCAAATGAATACACGAAGCTCCATGAGTTTCTCCAAACAATAAATCGACCACATTTACATGAATAAAAAATTCAGAGAGCTCATGGAAAGCTTCAGAAAAAAGAAGGGAGTTGATTTAGCTTCAGATTACTACTTGGTGGTAGCCGACATAAAACTGAAGCTAAAAAAGCATAGAACAATCGGAAAATCAATACTTAAAAGTCCAATACAACGCTCCGTCGAGATACCAAATTTCCAAAATAAAATTACAAAAACAATGCATTTGCCAAGTGATTTCTGGGGATCTAGCATCCCCAAAATACAGTAACTTGCTTTGTTATGAGAAAACATTGGACATTCACGAGGGAAAAAGCAAGATTCTGAAGTATAACACAACGAGTACTCACCAAGCTACACTTCATGACCAGTTGGTCACATAGCATCAGCAATAATATAGTGTCCAAAAACAAACCAGCTATCGTCCAGGGAGGAAATTAAAAAAGCTTGGAATAGATAGAAAACACCTTTCAGAACCCCCCAAATCGCATCACAAAGCACGTTGGAATCATCAAGACGAAAATTAAAAGGGGGCAGACTAAAAAGCACATGAGGCTGGGAACTGGAGGTAGACATTAGGACCGTAAATATCACATGGTAACAACTGGAAAAAACAGCCTGAAACAGAAACGCGTGGAGATCCCTGATAGACGGCCTGTGCCTTGAGGGATAGTAGGTTTAATCAACTAAGTACATAGTTTCGTCCAATATGTCATCGATTCGTTAGGAATGAAATCGGCAGCTTCACTTAACGAATGTTATGTTACACAGTAAAGATATCCTACATATAACAAATTTTAGAAACTTACTTCCGCAAGGCAACCAAGAAATGCAACTGTTTGCACAGTTTTCCCTAGGCCCATTTCATCAGCTAATATCCCATTGATACCTTGATCGAACAAACCAAGCAGCCAGTTCAAACCACGGACCTGGTAAGCTTTTAACTGACCTTTAAATAACTTTGGTGTTTCAATTTGTGTAGTTGTACTAGAGTCTGTATTATTATGAACAGGGGCGTTTAAATTGGGATTTGTTGCAGTTCCACTATGAAACTGTGATACCTAAAATTGTTGGAAATAGAAAATAATTGTCAATAAAAAACCAAGATTAGATAAAAAATCATAGAAAACCATGGAAGAACTGGATACTTTTTTACTTCTATACCAAGACTCACCCCCAGTAGTTTGCATCCTCAAAATCAAATAAAATCGGATCCGTGACCCTCAAGTCTTGTAATGAAGATCATACCGTCGATTCAGTCAAATTTAGCAGATAAGAATTAACCATGAGTCTGGTCTTCATTTTACTAATTAATTAATGACTTACAAAGACCTTTATCCTACAGACGAATAAATGTTATGTGTTTTATGCTTAAGTATATTTTGCTTTGCTTTACTAAACAATCATTCTGTTCGTTGATATTCATTTGGTGTAGAGCTTTAAACTATTAATTTATTTTACATGAACATTCGTTATTGAACTGTACTTCACATCACATAATCAGGGACTGTTTTAGTTTGTTGTAACACCCCAAACTTATAACTTCAACGAGCACTCTAATATCACAAATGGCGGACTCATAGATTTGCAGTTTCGCATAACTAAATTAATTTTCTTATATAGTGCTGTTTTATTACGATTTGCAATATTTATTTTGTAGATGAATCTGTAGTCAAATCATGAGCATATTATTATCAACCCCTAATTTACATGTCTCAATCATATTTGCTTTCTTTGGATTATATTCTCTACATTTATTTAAGAACTACCATCTGTTTAATTATCCCTCGATACTTTGATGTAAAGTATGTGTACATATGTTTTAACTATGAACTAAGTTGTTCAGCATTGACTGGCTCTCTGAAAAATCAAAATTTAGATTCTCAGTGTTGGCGGAAGTTACGATCAAGGCTCTTTATATGATTACCAATTTTAAACACAAACGATTATACCACGAACTCATGTGCACATTCGGATTCTAAGGCAGAAAACAGTCAGGGCTAACACAGCACAGTAATAGTGTTTATAGTTGTAGAAACTAAGGATGGTATCATTCTCTCTTTCAGGTTATAAAACATAATTTTAATTAAAACTAAAGATATGTTTCATTGATAAATCTCAACAGGTATGGAGTGCAGAATGATCAGAGATCTTTTTTAATTTTCTCCAGATCTTAACTGGACATCTGCTTTTGTTCCGAACTAGAAAGATGTAAGGAAATCAACAACTATAACATATTAACTATTACTAATTAACTAATAAGACATTACTGTTACTATAACAATGATTAATAACAATAATAATAATGTGGTGTGATACTGATGTCCACAGATATAGGTAGTACGTATCATCAGTCGAAAGTGGAATGTCTGACGGCAGAAGGTTAAGAAGATCGAAGAAAAGAGAACAAGAACAAAGAATGATTGGTGTGGAAATGAAGGAACGATGAAGTCTGAGATGATTGACTGACATTTGCAAAAGGAACAGTCAAGTTTGAGACAACTGATTGACGTTTTGCAAATGAAGTATTTACTGTATAGTTATCACATTTTACTATGTTCTGTAATTTTTTCATTTAAATACATTCGATTGTCCCCACTTGTGTTCTCTTTCACTACAATAATAATAGTAATAATAATAAAAAGGAAAATGTTTATCTGGAGATAATGATTCATACATACACGATTACGTTCAGTTGTAACAGCTGCTTTGACCTTCATTAAAGCTTCGGATTTCGCTTGTTCAATATCTAAAATAAAGAAGGATAAACGGAAATATCAGCACACTAAAGAAAATTTTCGTAGTTTCTGGAGACAGTGAACAGTTAATGTCATCATGAACTGACTTCAGTAGAACTATCAAAACGAAGAGCACTAGACAGCTGGTATATGCATTAGTGCCTGATATCAAAATGAGTATCTTGAAATATTAATCAAAACCCGTAATGTATAAATTAAACTGTGCCGGGAGCGATGAAGTAACTCATCAGTGTCCCCAGACGGGGACTACGTTGTGTCAAAAATCAGTAAAGTTGAAGATTTGGACTACTGGATACTAATTTACTGAGCTAAGATAATGTTTTCTGTCACGAAACCAGAAGTTCCTGGTGGGGTCGTGAGTGCACAGTAGTGGGACATTTAAAATTGAATAGTACTAACTGTTCAGTGCTCATTGTTTTTCAATAGTTCAGAAACTGAAATTTAGGTTAATAATTTGACTATTTGAAAAGAGGCTAATGAACATATAAAGTGGTGATTGATTCCTTTTATTTAACTATTTAGAAATAATTTAAAATAAGATTTTCAATCTCTTCGATTACACAAACGACATATAGACAATGAGATTAATACTTTGATAAAACCTATCATAATAAAATTTAAAGGAGTATGCGTAGTTCAGGTTGAAATGATAGCAGAAATGATAAACAGAAATACACAGGTTTAATACGACTAGTCTTGTTACTTCTTTTAAACAGTAATTTAACTATGGAATAAAGACGTCATTAGTAAAAGTAATACAGGGATAAGCGCAAACTGAAAAATACATCCCGTAATCTACGTGACTTTCTAAAAATCGAGTATTTCTAACTTTTAATTTCAGTCCACTGGCAATGCTCTCTGTGCTAATGTGATTTTCAAAATAAAAACTACAATGGGAAAACAAACAACATCAAATATTGCTGAGCCACACTAACAAATTAAGAGTTACATGCACAATCTGAACAACATTCCTCCTTTTAAGGTGATAGATTATGGGCATAAGTGAAAAACTGAGTATTATGTAAGAATGTGACAAATAATTCTCTAAAATTCTAGGAAACAACTAAATATCATGTATGAAAGTTAGATCTTGGAAAAGTCAAAGTTTATCGCCAATTCTAGCAAAGTAAATTTGTATGAATACACAGGACAGGAAAAAATATGGTAGTGATTGGTTATATAATGAACATAACTAACCATATTCTTCTTCAACATTAATACCCAACCGACAAGCTGCAGCTTTTGCAGCTACAGCTATTGAGCTGTATGATTTTCGGTGTGTAGATCCAGTCGATATACCAACAGAATCTTGATCATTCTGAATGGGATCACATGGAACAGATATGTCAGAACCAGTATCAATTCCTTCATCGTTAGTTTTTGTTTCTACAGAATCATCATCCATTTCTTCAAGTCGACGTAAGATTCTTTGAGCTTCGATTTCTTGACTATCGTCTTCTTGAATCACATTACCAGATACTGATTCAACATTTTCAGGACCACGTATATCTTCAGATTTGCAATTACCTGAGTTGACATCTGCCATCTTTTTCGCCATGAAATGGGCATATAATTCTGTTTGTGTAATCAAGAAATTCAGTTTTCGTTGTTGTCTTCTTGCCTCCAAAAGTTCTAAGTCGGCTTTACGTTGTTCAGCTGCAGCCTTCTCTGCTCGTCGACGTATAGCTGTACTTGATTCCATCACTGAAGTAGACATGTTCAACTCTAAACCTCCACTTTCTGGGCGGGCAGAAGTGTAATAATCAGGTAAATCCATAAGTGAAGAGAAATGAGTAATATTAGAATTGGATGGTATAGTTACACCATTGATTGTAAGTGGACCAGAACCATTAGCTGTACTCGAAGTTGAGCTACGCCAGTTAGATGCAATTTCGCGTGAAAGACGATGTCCACGACCTTTAAAGGAAGCAGAAATGTACAAATAAAAGACGCCAGCACGTCTAAAATGACCAACGTTTAGGATGTTTATGATATATATGGGTGTGAGCAATGGCTTTATGATTTAGGCAATCAGCTTTCAATCACTGACTCGTAGGTTCAAACCTCACTCCACCGAATTTGGTTTCAGAATTTGGATAGCATTGTTAAGCCTCAAAGTGGGTCAAAGCTGAATACATAAACCTATATTTAGTTACTCAGTTATTTTATATGTACTAGCAGCTTGTCTAGTCAATGTTCCTATAAGTCTAAAACGTGTTCTAATGGTTTTACTGTCCTCTGAGCTTTTAAAAGAAGACTCATAAGTTGCATAAAAAATAAAGTTGGATGATTTAGTAATTCTTAAATTTATATTTCATATTTGTTACTAAAAGGTTACAATAAGGTACATCTATAAACGGGAATAAGCTTATGCACCTTAGAAGATCTGAACCCAAATCATTTAGGCTTGCGTCCAGAAAATTATCACTAAGTTATTGAGACAGAATAATCATAAAAGCAACGGCTTTTAAACGCTTGACCCTTGAACTCTCGACTTATAGTAAATCAGTGGATTTATGCGCTAACCTCTACAACAATAAGACATAATTTAAACTATTTGCTCATTATATTCATTATGTTGCGTAGAGAATCGCGAAGAAGTATTGTAAGTATAGAGAAAAATTCACTCGCAGATCAAAGTTGAGAACATTTTATTACGATCTTAGGAGAATCCGTCATAATAGGGAGTCGATCAAAATAAATTCAATAGAAAAATTAAAGCGAACAAACGCAGAAAGGATTGGGTTACAGCAGTGATCGAAATATAAGTTTATCAATGATTAGATATAAGTACAGAGCCACTATTTTAAAAGCCAGTAAACTGAATAAAACCATGGCTAGAGTTGCTCTTCCTTTCATTATCTATGTGTAAGTGATTTTATTTATTTATTTGAACACATAAGCATCGATACCAAGTGCAACCAAATACATACGCGGCACACAATAACAATGGGGTTATGAAGAGATAGAGAATGTAAAGTGAGTATAATAAAAAAACGAACAGAAATTCGTGTATGAGAGTGAAATAATAATAATAACTGGAGAAACAGTTCAGCTAGCAAAAATATAACCCTGAAGAATTCTTTCAGTTAAAGAGGTTACTCGCACTTTTACGAAGTAACATAAAGTTAGAGCAGGATCGCCACTGACTTTTAATCTGAGTCATGTCACATAAGGTTCCAAGTACCTTTGTTGCATCATCTCTAAGACATCAACGAGTGAGTCGTGAGGGACCAACAGAAGCTAGCCCTTTGTAGCTTTCTTTCATACCACGACACCATGTCATACACTGACCACCTCTCCACGTCTTCCAACCAGTTCCAGCGACGGCAAATAATGCACGACGTGGAATTCTCTGGAACGACATTCGTAGAACATGTCCAAGCCACCGAAGTCGGTGTTTCAAGATGATGACATTAACTAGATTATCGTCTCTGCGCCCGAACACACGGTGCCGAACCTCTGCATTACTAATATGGTGTTGCCACTGGATGTCAGTAATCCTTCGGAGACAACGATGATCGAACACAGAGAGTCATCTAACATACTCAACTCGGAGAGGCCAGGTTTCACAAGCATAGAGCAGAACTGCTCTCACCGACGCGTTGTAGATCCGACCTTTTACAGCCAGACTAACATCACGAAGGCGCCAAAGGTGGCCCAGATTGGCATAAGCCGCTCTGGCTTCCACGATACGTGCATTGATCTCATCACTCACACCCCCACCAGCACTTATGCAGCTACCCAGACACATGAACTTCTCGACTACTTTTATCTGCTCACCATCCAGAGTGAGTACAGGATTAGAATCTTACCAGTCTTGTAGAAGTACTTTGCACTTCGAAGGTGCAAAGCACGTACTATACCTACGGCCACTAATTGCCAACTGATTAAGTGTGGATTGCATGGCTTGGGCATTATCGCACAGTAAGACAATATCGTCCGCATACTCAAGGTCGAGAAGTCTTTCTCCAGGCAACAGATCCACACCGCCATTACTTACATCCATCAGAGCTGTTTCCAGAATGTCATCGATGGCAAAGTTGAAGAGGAATGGTGAGATTGGGCAACCCTGCCTAACACCACTGCTTGAATGGAACAACGGCGAGAGGTGGTTGTATACCCTCACTCTGCCTGAGGTGTTTGTATATAGGGCTTTTAGGATGTTAATAAACTCATCAGGCATACCCTTCATCAATATGCAATCCCAGAGAACAGTCCTATCCAACGAATCGAAGGCAGCCTTGATGTCAAGAAACACTAGTATTGTTGGCCTTTGATAAGTATAGCGGTGTTCTAACATCTGGCGGAGGGTGAAGATATGGTTAATACATCGTTTACTAGAACGAAAACCAGCTTGCTCCCCACGAGTCAATCTTTCTCGGTTTTTGAACAACCTACGAGGTATGATGGAAGCCAACAGTTTGGACGCAATCGGAAGTAGACTTATCCCTCGATAGTTGTTACAGAAACGACGTGAACCCTTTTTAAAGATAGGGGGAACTATCGACTCATTCTATGATGTTGGAACACTGTCTAACTGTCAAATCTTTGTAAACAACTCAGTAAGTTCCCTAACTAGAAAGTCACCATCATCTTTAAAAAGGGCCGGAGGTAAGTCATCTGGGTCTGGTGATTCAAGAGTTGGAGTTTTTTGCGAACTCCCGCCTCATTTGGTGGATCAATCGTCACCGGACCATGGAGGGCAAGACAGTCTGATCGATGTTGCCGGAGTAACAGACCAGTTGGAGTGTTCCTCGAAAAACTCTACCCATCGTTCAAGACGTCGATAGATGTTAGTGGTCGACATCTCGTCTGCGCAGATTATTTTACTGACACCAACACTTGTTGCTGCCAGCGACTTGGATGAATTGAAAGAGCTTCCGGCAGTTATTAGATGCAACTGCTGCTTCTATCTTGTTGACACGTTCCGACCACCAGACTTCTCGGTCCTTACGCAAGTGTTACCAAATTTGATTACACGAAAGTCTTCGTTTATGGTCAAACTCATGGTCACCCGGAGTAGACCAACGGGCTTCAATGAGTTGTAAGAAGCCTGAAGGAACCCAGTGAATATAAGCTGGACATTTCGCGAAACAGAAAGTAACTTCACTCGCCATTTTCATGGCGTCATGCGATTGAAACCAATGCTCATCTATACTTTTCATTGGGATTGTAGCTAGCCTTAAACGTAACCGATTTGTTGGCCACTGAAAAGCAAGGTAAGATTAGCGCAAAAAAGGGTATGATCAGAGTCCAGATAGGTACTCCAAAAGGAGTGACAATCTTTTACACAATCATGCCAGTGGAAGCTGATCGCAACGGGAGGGCGCCAGGTGGCACATTGGCGATGATTGTGCTGAAAGTTAGTGCTAGCCAGAAACAGACTGTGGTCTAAGCACAGTTGCAATAGACGGTCCCCGTTCCCATCGGTCACCTAAACGACTCTCTTCGATGCCTAGACGCCCGACCTGAGCATTCAAGTTTACGGCTAGTATTACAATATCTGACTAACGCACTTTGTGTAGAAGAACAGTTAACTGATGACAAAACTCATCCTTGATCGCATCCGGAATGCAATCTGTCGGAGCGTAGGCGAAGATTACGAAAAGACATCGTTTCGCATACTGATTTTTTCGCACCCTGATGGGGCTTTTTAATCTATCAGCACATAACCGACTGGTAATGGGGATCCAATCGATTAGTGCTGCCTCAGCTCAAGCGTTTAGTGAGACACCAACGTCAAAAAACTAAAGGATACACCACAATGTCCCTATATAAACACACGTGAAACAGGTTTTCCGAAGCGACAGATGGAGCGAATTTGCAGTACCTTAGTAGAGTCTTGAGTACGGACCTTGGATAGACAACAGACATGTTGAGACTTTCTAAAGACATAGCCAACCCTATATGTTGTTCTATCTGCATTAGTGTGCGAACGTTGAAGGAAGCCAGTTTGATCTCAGAAAGACTGTTTCGGTATACGTATTCGGTGGGATCATTCAACTTTCGACCAGTCAGTGACTTGAGGTCGTTCATATGGACAGGGTTCCCACTATAGGCGAGGTTCTGTACGAGTTGAAAAATAAAATACGCGGAATGAGAATAAAAAGGAGTAGATAAGTGACGTAGTACAAAAGAAATAGAAATTTTATATGATTGTAAATAAGATTTGTTTGAGTGAGCGTTGAAGCAACAGTAATTTTTCTAGTAGTAGTTATCATTGGTAGAGTCAGTCTACAGTAATCCAAAGAAAATCTTAATCATTACTCTATTCTGGTTCAAGGTAATTTTAATTATGGATAGATAGTTGATAATGAGGTAGCTAGTATACTAAGTTATGGAACGAGTAGAATCTCAAGCTTACACACTGAATCGGCTGGATTAGAACAGGAACATTGGTCTACCAGAGTTTTTTGGTACCTGTGTTTGCGCCACAGGGTTGAGCTGTGCTGTTAAGGCCATGTAAAGACTAAGATGGTGTCTCTTGAAAAACCAATGTAAAATCTCTTTCTTGTAGGGTGATATTTATAGTTGTAAAAAACAGAAACCAGCTAGTAAGGAGGGACCGAATAAACGTAGTGGAAGATCACTAACTTATACCTAAATACAGCCTCATAGTATTTATTATAGGATATAAATAGCAAGTTACATGTACAAACTTCTTTAGATTTACATGCCTTTGGTACAACATAAATCTAGTTAGAAAGCTTTTAAGCAGATCAAAAAAGATCTGGTCAGATGACACCACAAAGAAGCCAGAATTTACTAATCGCGTGCTCAAAGAAATCAGCAACCAGTAAGGCATCTGTTCACAGGGAATCGAAAGTAGAAAATATGAACCAATCGTGAGAAACTACCTTTCCTAAAACTAAAACTCAATGGAGATTTAGTGAGCGATGTCCTATAAAGTGGATTAGTGAGAGCCGTTAAAAAAACTTTTTAAGCAGCTAATCGTACCTCAGCATTTTATAGTTGACCAATAACATCAACTTAAACTAAGAATAGTTTACCTGATTTTACCTCTTCTATGTGTACCTACAAACTCAACTACTCGTTAGGAGATAGCTATATTGGGGATACCATAAAGCAACTTAACCAACAATCGAGGGAACATCTTGTTTTGGAAAGGGTCAGACGAATACAAAACGTAGCCTCGTCTTGCCGCATTTGGTCGATAGTAGTTACGTGATAGATAAAATTAAATCATTTCAAGTGATCTGTCGTATAGCATAATTGTTTCCCGACGGGCTTCGACCTCGTCTTAATATAACAGAGGCGACAAGAATTTAGACACCTCTGTTCTTTCCATGACTGGATAAGGCATAAAAGACGGCTTTAGTAATAATATTTATTCTTATTTTCCATATCCTTTATAAGATTTTTCCATCAACTTCTTTCGTTTATATTCCTCACTATTTAATTACTTGAAAATTTTAAACGTAATCCTAATTATTTTTAATGATTGCTATTTTTGTGTCTATAGTTGCAAGTGTTAACAAACTTTCTATGTTGAAACTTTGATTCAAGCCATTATGCTCATATCTATCTGTCAATTTGCTATCAATTTGCACATCTTACTTATTATGCTTGATTATGTGATCTATTTTGCTGTTATTATTGACTCACAAACTACCTTGGTTGATTTACTATTTTTCATAAACGTAAATGTTGCTGTCTTGTAAAGAACTAACAAAAAACAGCATTGTTCGCTTAAATGTATTGTCTTGATTGGATGATCAAAAACCTGACTATTTAAATTTGGTCCATAATTTATGCACTACGGTATCTTGAGTATCTCTAACGGCACTCAAGATCACAGAATTTATGCATTTAAGGTATACCTTAAGTAAGAAGGAAATAAGAAATGGACACTTACTTATTGAATCTCTAGCAGCTTTTTGGGAAAGCAATGCCTTTTGACGTAACAAACGTGCGCACTCACGAGCAGCGCGTTTTGCTAGGATTATCTTATCTCGACGATTAGTACCACGTTGCCTTGCCACCTTACAAATTATCTTTTTAGCCAAAGATTTCCACGCACGTAACACTTTAGCTGAAAGTCTCCTAGCTGCTGGAACACTAGAGACTGTGCTTAAGACGGCATCACCAGATTTGACTTGAAGATCTGACTGTATTTTACGTATACTTGGACGACCAGCAGCAGCACGCGCAGAAAATGCTTGACGTTGGCGAGAAACTATAGCAGTCAACTGGTCTTCTTCCTCATCATCGTCTTCATCTAGATATTGGGATTTGTTGTCAGTATGTGTGGTCCTTTTCAGATTTTCAGCTGGAATGGATGGTTTGTTTATATCACGCCGTTTTAGTAATGAATTATTGTAACAATGTTTTCGCGACCATGATGAATTCGGAGGATAATTGGATGGACGACCGAACTAGATGTGAATAAATTAACACAAAAGTATTGGTTTACACATGGTATTTAAAGGGCTATAGTTACTCAAAGTGCAATATTAGTGACCTTATAGTCTGGAGTTTTGTTTGCAATCTGTAATCGACAAGTAAAAATAAGCTTCAAGCTTACCAAAAAGCTACTAAATAAACTTTTCAAATACTTTTACATCTACTGTTTTTTACTCGCTATACATGCTAATTTAAAATTATGTACTCTAAACCGATTCATAAAGAGTAACACTTCACTCTAAAATTCCACACTTAAGGAAAGTTGTCATATATTAAGGAAACACTTTGTATTATTAAAGGAACGATATGAAGTTATATTTTTTTCTTACAGTTAAAACGTCAATATACTTTAACGGAGTCCCTAAAGTAACAATTAACATTTATCTAGCAAATCAAGAGCAGTGGTCACGTGATTACGACATTTGTTTCTTAGATACAGGATTGCAAGTTCAAACCCTACATTTACTTAGGTAGGGTAGTTCAGTATTATCACCAGCCCTTACATATGAAGTGCAGATTAATTTCGTGTACACGAAACCATACTTGTTAAATGAGTCGCACTAAATATGTAAATTAAATTTAGAAGACTAAGAGAACTAACTTTTGAAGATCGATTGCCACGAATTAATTGAGTTGATTTTCGTTTACGCATACCAGAAGCAAAGCTTGAATTCCTCCACGACACAGCAGAAGTAGAAAGGTTTCTTTGTGACATCTTTTTGATGTTGAGATCACCGGGCATGTCCATGTTCTTTTGAGACAGAACATCCTCAGAAAATGCCTGAATACCAACTGAAGCTAAAACAGATTGTCTTTCTTTCTCTTTCATACACGCCACAAGTTCACGAGCTTCTGATCTCCATTCAGCCAACAAAATATGAAACTCCCGTAAAATTTGTGGAGAAAAAGATCTTATGGGACGCGATTGTTCACCTTCAGAAGGCTTAAGTAGCTAAAATTCAGAAAGTGTGATTACCTTTACAACAGTAAAAAGAAATGAAAGACAAGTAGTAAAGGAAGTAGGACCGATGAAAAAAATCGACCTGCAATTTGTTTGGAGTTGGGATAATCTGACAAGTAATTAATTTGGTGTAGCGTTCAATACGTCTAAGCAAAAGAACGAGCGCAGTGTCAAGTAGAAGATTCTGACACGTTCTGCCTTATTTGGGAATATTCAGTTTAAAGTCCTACCCAGAACTAATAACCCCGATGAAAACTGAGCCAATAAAAGCGTGTTCATCAACCTTTATAAATCTGGGGCTCTGAATGCCCGGTTCCACACTTTTCCCTTGATCAGCAGTCACTAAATTTAATTTACTAGCGACATACTATGCTGACAAATCTATTTTATTACAGCTAACAAAACGCATAATCTATACAAAAGTAAGTAAGATGGTTTCGAACAAATAATCAATTGCTGACTAACTCACTGAAAGAATTAAAAATTAAAGGTATTCTTACTCCTGACATGCATGACTCACTCAAGCCTACTGGATCGAACACACCGCGACTATATGGTTTACCTAAAGTTCACAAGACAGGTCTTCCTCTTCGCCCAGTTTTAGATATGTATAATTCGCCTTATCATAAAACTGCAAAGTGGCTAGTTCGTATCCTAAACCCCTTACACAAATTAGTCGTCAATAGGAGCGTGAAAGACGTCTTCGATTTCATTTCCAAAGTGGAACATATAAATTTAAATGGGAAACGAATGATATCTTTAGATGTTGCTTCTCTGTTCACCAACGTGCCGTTAACAGAGACTATCAATTTTGTGTGCCAACAGCTGCAGGAAAAACAAATCAATATTGGAATTCCTGAAGTTTATCTTAAAGAGTTTCTTTTGAAATGCACAATGAATGTCCATTTTGTCTTTAATAACACATATTATAGACAAATTGATGGTATAGCGATGGGTTCGCCACTAGGTCCCTTGCTTGTGGATTTTTTTCTGGCGAAACTAGAAAACGGATCTCTCAAAGAGGTTATCAATAAACTGGATTTCTACTGTCGTTACGTTGATGACACTTTCATCATTGCCGATCAGAACATTAGAAAAGAACAACTACTGGAACTATTTAATAACAAACATCCTGCTATTAAATTTATATGAGACGAGGAAATAGATAACAAACTAAATTTCCTGGACGCTTTATTACGTAGAAAAGAAAATGGCTCTGTCACCAGGTGTGTATAGGAAAAGTTCTTCTCCAAGCCAATACACACATTTTTAAGCTTTGTGCCTCTTCATTATAAGAGAAACTTAGTCAAATGTCTAGCAAATAGAGCTATTAAGATATGCTCAGTCGACACAATTGATGGAGAATTACAACACATTTATAATATTTTGATTGGATTGGGATATCCACTGGGGTGCCTGAAGAAACACTTGCGGGTACAAAACAAGAAAACAGTGACTGACGGCTAATAAGAAACCGCTTTTCTTGAAGCTGCAATTCAATGGTGATTTAGCTAGCGATATATTACGGGATAGATTGACTATAGCGGTAAAGAGAACGTTTAATGCTGCCAACCTCTGCCTATCGTAATCGACCCGATCGATGGTGGTTCCGCAATTGAAGGATAAGTTACCTGGTTATGCCACTTCTATGTGTATCTACAAATTCAGCTGCTCCTGTGGAGAAAGCTACATTGGGCGCACTACCAGGCAACTGAACCAGCGAGTTAGTGAACACCTCCTTTCGTGTTTAGGAAAAGGTTACGCCACAACAATACGCAGCTCGGTTCTATCACACGTGATCGATAGCGGTCATATAGTGGACAGAAACAAGTCGTTCAAAGTTATTTATCGTATTCACACTAGTTTTCCTTATGGTAATTTGAATAGTTCCGTATCTTGTTTGCTAATTCATATTCATCGATTCAGTGACATTGATACATCCAGAGGTTGCTGGTTTACATAATTTTACGATTACAGTAAATGAAGGGTTATTATGACAATGGAATGGATATTTTTTAACAAACTGATGGGTTGTGTTTGGGACAAATCACGAATTAAGGATTTTCACAAAACAGATTCGCTGATTAATTATGATAACATACAACAAGGACTTAAACGTTGTTAGTTGTCTACAAAATATTCAAGATAAATAGCATTACTAAGCGATTTATCAGTTAGCAAATGATCAATCGATGGTGTAAGTAAATGTTACACAACAACCAGTAATTGACCACTTTTTTTCGTCACAATGAAGACAGATTTAAGTATCTCTTGGTTAATCTGATAATGACTGGCAATGAAATTCATGAACCATTTTCTGATCTTGTTTTACTAAAAAATTCGCTAAATCTGACAGTAAAATGATGGGTTAATTACTTTACGATGGTGAACCTTCGTTGTGCAAAGAATACAAAGAGGCTAGAACCAAAATAGTTCAGCGAAATGTTGGAATGTTACAATTTAATCTTGATATTTATTCTTGAAAATCTTCCCGTGTACAAAATCCAAGAGCGTAGTAATGTTAATCAACAATTGTAATGTGTGATTATTTAATTTTTAATTTCACGTAACAGTAATTAAGCTTACTCCGTATTCAGGATGTGAAGAGCATTTTTTAAGCCAGTATTCATTTTCCAAATTATGGACTGAAATAACAAAACGAATAGAAATAACTCTTTAAAACAAAATTACTTTGAGAATCATGATTATGTTATTATATAAGTGCAGTTGAAAAAATTAAACCATTTCCTTGTTCCCATAAATAAACAATTCCCTCATGCATATATTCATCCAGACTAAATATGCATTTAGTGTAGAAAACAGGAACTCAAAATGCTGGGAAGTAACTATTTGCGAACATCATCGACAGCATCGATTACCATAGAAGTGATAGTTGGGTTTAGGTAAAAAATACCAGAGATATCTGTAAAGTTCTTGTAACCCATAAGTGTTAATAGCGACGTGTAATCATCTTACGATATTGAGATCAATTAGAAAAAGAAGATTCGGTAGGACTATAATTCATGGACGACCTTTGAGCGAAGTTGAGGTGACCTTGAGAAAAGACACCTACTGATCAGGACTAAATGAGAGTCATAAACCAACTAGAATAGTGTTTTACGATTGATGGTTACAGTTAGAAATTAGATTTAAATTCTTCATCACGAACTGGCATCACCTATAATGTCAAAACTCTAGTCAAATGTACGAATGAATTTCGTGCCAACATACAAGACTATCTTACATCTGACTGGTTCATCCGTAAATAATAGCTCCACTGAAGATTCCTAATTGAGGATAACGTCCTTGATGATAGCAACAAAAATGAAATAACAATCCTACGAGAACTGAAGACTCATTTTAGCATGAATGCAAATGTACTAACGGGTTAAATTTAATAGACTATTATACGGTAGGAATAGGTATGTAGCAAACAAGTCAAAATGACCAGAGAATTTTCATTCATAAAGCTGTAGCACAACATCCGTTGTAGATCAGTATCTCATACAGTTGCATAAAAGGACTGCTAGTACAGACATTAGATAGTCGAATATGAAATCCACTTCACTCAGACACTAACCAAACCTTGAGTTAATATAGATCTTGCATGCAGCGCCAAGCAGTTTACATATGAGCATAAAAACAGAACTGAAGCAGTAGAAAAATATATGCTTAGAGCCCAATCATTAGACCTAGAATCTAAATATCCACAGGCATGTTTCAGGAGCACATATAGGAGGTTCTCCTAAGTTAAACATCCTCAGTACAATTGAAAGTCGTCTCTGGGACGGTGAGTGAAATATAGACATGATCATAAACCTGTGTTTCAACACGTATATATTCCACTGGATACCGTCATCCAAGATTTCAAAATGGCGAATAAATGATCACAGAACAGTAGAGTCAAATTAACGAAAAGCTGCACGACCAAAATATACGTCTACACAACAAATGATCTTTATACCACTAAGAATTGTTGGAATATTCCAACAATAAATATTAAATTTCAAATGAAATCAAAACGGATGCGACATTTGTAAACTCACACATTATAGGATTCACGAAAACCGACTTGGGGAAACTTTGAAGTCTCGGTGTCTTATCCATTTCGCCATCCATTTACTTTCTAACGATTTTTAACTACATATTCGAACAACCTCGGGTGCAGAGCAACTCAAACTCCCTCCAATACTCAGTTCAAATGGTTCAAATGGTTATGGACGGAATAGAAGAAGCTTTCGCTTAACAGGCTTCCGTGTCTAGTAGCAGGGGATCACCAAATCCTCCAGGCAGTAACCTAGGTATGTTAACAGTAAAAGAGGAAAAGAAATTGGTAAATCATAATGTGATCCTGTCCTTGGTCCTTAAGAATAGGTCAAGTTGCCTCTTGAAGGACTCCTGAGAAGTCGCTTGGACTAGCTCGGCCGGCAGCGAGTTCCAGCTTTTGACAACTCTTAAGGAGTAGAAGTTGTGTCTACATTCCGTCTTGCTATGTTGTGTTTCCAGTTTCTGGGTGTTACCCCTTAGGTTATTATTCGAACTAAGCTTAAGCAGGTGTTTAAGAGGATGTCCAGAAGTGTTAAGAATACTATAAGCCATTAATAAATCACCTCTAAGACGCCTATATTCTAGTGGGTAAAGGTCTAGTGAACGGAGGCGTTCTTCGTAAGGCTTAGATTTGAGTCCTCGAACTGATTTCGTGGCTCGCCGTTGGATACGCTTCAAAGTGACCTTGTCCTTTTGGAGTGAGGGGGGGAGTACTATGTTTCCGTACTCTAAATGGGGACGGATGAAACTATTGAAGATTGTGTGGAAAGATCTTCCGTCAAACTGGCCAAAATTGCGCCTCAACGTTACCAGTGCAAGGTTTGCTCGGAAGGCATTTTTGTCACAGTTAGCGTAAGACTTCAAGTCATGGGGCACCAGGACTCCTAAATCTTTTTCGACTTGGGATACCACTAGAGAGGAGTTACCTACGTTATAACTGTAGTCTGCGACATGTCGCCGATGGACTACTTTACACTTTGAAGTGTTAAAGGTAAGTCCATTATTATCTGCCCAACTTTGGAGTCGAGTCAGATCCTCCTAAAGTGCCTGCGTATCTCTCCAAAGTTTAACATCGTCGGCAAAGAGTAACAATTCTGACGTTACCTGTTGAGGAAGATCCTTTATGTAGATCAAGAAGAGAAGAGGTTCTAGTACTAAGCCCTGGGGGACCCCACTAGGACATTCCATAGCCTGAGACAAAGTGAAATTAAACCTAACCTTAAAGTGTCGATTTTTCAGGTATGAAGTAAGCCAATCGATTAGAGGTGGTCTGATGCCTAGTCGTTTGAGCTTATTGATAAGACATAAATGGTTAATCTTATCAAAAGCTTTTGAGAAATCTAGGTATATGATGTCAGCCTTTCCCTTGCGGTCGAGGATGCTAGTCCATCTGTCCACCGCAGTCAGCAGGTTGGTTATACAAGAGTAACCCTTCCTGAGACCGTGCTGTTGGGGTGAGAAGAAATTTAAGGACAGTAGACAGTCATTTAAACCGTTGCATATCAGGGACTCCATGAGCTTTGAAGGTAATGACAGAAGAGCCACCGGCCGATGACTTGAAGGTTCATTGCGTCGACCTCCTTTGAAAATTGGTGTGATGTGAGCCAGCTCCCAATTTTCCGGTAGTTTTCCTCGACTTAGGGAGTGTGAGAACATCACGCTAAGCGGCGTTGCCAAGATTGAGGCTGCTTCCCTCAGTATGGCGGAATGGACCATGTCCGGGCCAGGAGAAGTGTCTAATCTTAAGTGCTGCAGTTTCCGGAACACCAAGTCAGCGCTTAGGTCCACTTCGGAAAGTCCTATGGAATCGCAGATGAAACTGTCATCAGTAAAGTTGATGTCGGTCGGTTGAAATGTCTGAAAAGTAATGTTCAGCCAGAAGGTTAGCGGTGTCGACATCGTTGTTGGTCGGGCCATTAAAATCTAGCAGTTAAGAAACTCCAGTTTTGGCTTGACGAAGAGAGGCTGCATAACGGAATAAGCTTTTAGGATTAGAGGCAAATTTATCCATAAGCTTTGTCCGGTACCGAAGCCTGTCTTCTCTTATAGCCTTCGTGCATGTGTTCCTGATATGTTTGTATTGCTTATACGCTCCATCGTTATTAGTTCGTTTGTATTCCGCCCAACAGTGCCGTTTGCGGCTTAGGAGGCGAAGGGTACGGTTCTTGATAACTGTAGGTGGCTTGCAGCTTTTGGGAACCGTTCGAGGAACTGAATGGTCTGTAGCACATAAGAGCGTGTGCAGTAAGAAGTCCCAATGACCATCCACATCGATTTGAGGGTGAACATCCCAAACCACCTGTTGTAGATGGTCATGTAGAGCTGGCACATTCATCCGTTTAAAATTCCAACGCAAATTATTGTTGGGATACCTTAGCTTAGTTTTGATGACAAAACTGAAGGCTATGACGGCATGATCTCTTTTTCCCAGAGGAGCCAGGATTGAGAGGTTGTCGACTAGGAATTCTTCGTTAGTGAATACACAGTCTAAGCGCGATGGTGTCTGACTGTTTCTCCAACGAGTTGCCGACCTCACATTTTCATATAAGCCCAAGTTATCGATGAGGTTGAAGAACCGAGCTTCAGTTGAGTTGTCGCCTCCAGTATACGTGTGTTCCGCGAAGTTGACTCTAGGGAGATTAAAGTCCCCTAGAATCAGGATGTGTGTGAAACCGAGACGGATAGAGCGGGATAGTCCTTCCAGCATACGACTATCGTACTCGGTGTCGGCAGTTGGCTTCCTGTAAATGACTCCGACTAGACACCTGGAAGTACTAGACAACCTTACAGAGCACCATATGGATTCCTCAAGATTGTTAAACTCGAGGTTGTGAACCTGGTCCGATAAACAATACTTATGTGTCAAGCATAATCCGACTGACTTTTTTGTTTTGATACTATCCAAGATATTTGCTACTGTTCAACTGGTTATAGTCCAGTCACTCGACTGAACGAAGTGTAGTCGATTTGGAAGTTATTTGTGGATTTATGTGCCTTGTAAAGTTTGTTTTTCCCCATAAAACAGAGTTCTTTGGCTAAATAGCTACCGCATAACAATACAGAAGGTTTTCGATTGCAATGCAAGAGATCATAAAGATAAAATATTGGGTTCAGAAGATCTAAGAAGAGACAAATGCCTGAAGATGTGATAAACATCGGTAAACTGTTATATCGAACAAATCGCTTGAATAAACAGTTCCATAAGTCTTCGACCTTGATTTGGACGTATTACTTATGCTGGTCACAGATTTAGTTGTGTGCCATCGTCAAGCGTCTTCATCACTTCAATTGTTACTTTGCTATGCAGCTTATTTCTTAGGACGACTAGTCAATTTGCATTCCAAAAAGATCGGCACATCAACCATTTTATCAAATATTTCTCTTATCCTATCTTCCTTGGATTCGAATTTCGCAAGCCTCGTACTATGATAGGTTTTAGATAGCGTAGATTTCAGAAACGTCATTTTCAGTGATGAGCCTTAAAGATACCTATGAATCTTCGCCTAATCCTAACATTATATATATTCGTTTATGTATTGTGATATTCTCTGTCCTGGAATATCACGGTTGGTTTATGCATTTTATTCATATTATGCAACTGATACCAGATAATACTGAGATCTGATCCGCTTATTCAGAAGCTAACCTTTCATGGGCACGGGATGCTGACTCCACGAGCTCAGTTACTCACAGTAGAACAATGTGGCTCAGTAAACGAAGTCCGACAAGCGGTTTAAAGAAACTTAACATTCCTTCACATTCTTATCCAGACGGTTGACATATAGGGAATCGTGATATAACACTTTCAGTAGGGAACTCCTAGCCACGTATTGTACTGTTTGTCACTTTTAAAAACCAATTGATGTTCGGGCATTCGATCTTTACATCAATAACAAACTTCTTGTATTTTCTAGTAACCCATCCCCGTAGAGTTACTCTTCTTCAGAGTCCGGAAAACTGAACTTCGTCCTTCAAGTTACTTATGATACACACATATTCTTGTGGCAAACAATGTGGTTACAAGATAATTCTCTCTTATATATTCATTGAAAAGTTTCTGAATAATCGATCTTAAACACTTCTATATTTCAAAACGAGTTATCGTCTACAACTCTAAAATTATGGATCAAACAGGGACGAATAGATAAGTAGACTTTACTATTTGACTCACTTACTGATATGATCCTATCGTACCGAAATATTATCATTCAGAATTTTTGAGTAATTTGCACAACGCCTCTTATCTGGGTATTCGAGCGGTTACCAAGCTCATTGCAAGAAACTCTTGCTAAACTGGTATTATTAAAGACGTGAGGAAGCGTGAACGCTCTTATGTTGGCTGTCAGAAATCCGTAATTTCCTCCCCTTTTACTAAACATTTAGAGATAACACGATTCTGAATGACAGTTTTCCACCATAGATCGGTAGAACGGTTTTTTTGAAAGTTGAGAGACTTAATTTCAGCTGTAAAGGATCGTATTGGACTGACTCTTCCACTCATGTTGTAAGGGATCCATTACGCAGTGTGTGTTGACTCCGGGTGTATTGCAGTGGAATACGTTTATGGTATGGCACTTAAAATTTTCTGGATGAATTCACGCTTTTTCATCTCTGAATGTGGATCCAATTTCCTACCCAAGCGGGCATGCAAACGCAATACGTTCAGTTAAGCTTTCTTTCAACCAATCGCAAACAACTGGCGTTGTCGCTAAATTTGCGTTGCGATTTATTATGTACGTTTTCGCAAATTGTTACACCGATCCCTCGAAGCTGCGATTGAGGACAGTACTAAGGTTTATGTCGTAAACCTACACACCGCACCAAAAAAGACAACGTCTAAAATCGACTGGCTAAAGACCGCTTATTTCGAAGTAAATCCATTTGTCGCGTTTAACGCTACATAATCGAACAACACAGTCAACTCCACTATGATGGTTTCTACAATACTTAACGACCGCAATGAAACTTCGTCAGTATCCGATAATTGGCCAAAAGGTTCTGCAAGAACCCTAGTCCCATAGATCATAGATGAGTACTTATCAAATTTACTGAGCTTCCTTCTGTTCACCTCACTTTCCAGTTCTGCAGTTTAATGATAATACTGCCAAACATTCTATCCCGGGATAGCGGTATATACTACTTATGTCGATATAAGTAGCACATTTCACAAAACATCTGCCTGATCACGTCCTCGGATCGTCGCCAACCCACGAGAGTTGAAGTGAGATGTAGCTGTGAATTCCCTAAATAAATAGCCATACAAACGTTTGGCATTGATCTTGATCTCATTAGTTTTACTGGTGTTATTCAATACTGAGTATCAGCAGCATCCTTAGTTGCTTAGAATACTTAGAAATAATTCCTATATTAGGAAAATACGGAGGGATGTCAGGCAAGTTCAGAGTCTGTGAATGAACAGAATACCTACGATATCTCATAAAGTCATCAACTCTTAGAAGCTTCCAACCGAAGAAGTGGTGTACTCACATTCTGATGACTCATTATAGAGAAAACTAGACAATCACAGTAGCATACTAGCAAAAATCCAGAACAGGCTGTCAGCGTCCTTTCTTCGATGTTAGAATCTGAATCAAGAGACAAACTGTATATTGGATGTAGAAACTAGATAGCCTTGGGTAGCAGTAAAACAAGTCGACTTTATAAGCCATGTCATTGGCTTGCTATCATATCTGTCGGTCATGCCACCGAAACTGGGTTATTGGAAAATCAGAGGCGTAAGTGTATCATTTTAAAAAGGAAGATTCTACACTTATTTTACATTGCTGGAGTTATAGTAAGGTTCTGCCCAAGCAACCAATAAAACGGAAATAATGGTAAAGAAAGGGGAAACGCCAAAATGTCTGGTTTTTCACTTGACAGGAGAAAATAATGTGGATTTCCCCCTTTATATCACTCTATGTTTTAAATGTCGCTAAATTGTCTACTTTTCGCCTAAATACACACCGACTTATCTAAAATTGCTTCAGTTTTTAACAGACCTTTGGTCTAATCTTATGTCTCTTACGTTCGCTTTTATTTCCATAACACACCACACGACAACTGCAATCGACGTTAAAAATGGTACATGTTTATAGAAATTTATTGAAAGGAAAAAACTTCATATTGTACAGCATTATTAGTAGTTGACGGATGTTAAAGCATCGATTTATATGTATTTTAATTATAATTTCCAAGTCTTATCGTAAGTTGAAAAGATCTGCAAAAGAAAGAACAGGTTGTGTTATTGATTAGGCACATGTACATAATTACAAATGCAGTTAAAATCAAACAGGCTTCTCAACACTCGCTCAGCGAGTTTCCCATGCAAGTTAGAAAATAAGCGCATGTTTAAAAAATGCTTTCGAAAACGAAGTTGAACATGAAATGTTTATTCCACTGGTAATGACTGTGCTGTTACAGTTGGTGGGATCTCATTACAACTAATTTCAATGTTGACTGCTATTAATGCAACGTAAATCACTGCCAAAGTCAGTTACCTTTGGTCATCCTTTCACTACCAGAGTGACTAAATGAAAGCAAGTTATGTTTTCTTCATAAAAGCCGTTCTTATTTTGTTCCACTGTCTAAGTCTATCTATGACAACAGTACGTTATTTTGTAGAGGTTTGTGAAAATGTAAGTATAGGGAACGGCACTATTCAAACATGGCACGTTACGTATATTTGTCTACCAATTTTCCCCAAACATACGATTTATGGGGGGAATCGATATTTCCGCCAAATAACCGACGTGAAGAAGAAAAATCAGCCTTTCTGCTTTATTTACGCTTTCGTCCGCGTGTTTTCGATTGTATTTGTCAGTCACTTTGTTAATGTATTATGATATTGAAGTGTAAAATGTTTGATGCGTTTTCCTGATAATTTCTGATTACCTGGGTTCAATCATGTGGTAGCACTCTTTAGAGTTTGGATAAAGTTTTCTGATAAACCTTTGGACTGAGAATGTGGTGATTTTGTGCTGGACCAGAAATATATCAACTCAAAAGTAATAAAAAAGTTATTACGTCCAAAATTCAAGGGGTTAATATATTAAATATAGTTTATAAACGCAAGAAAAATTTACTGAACGTTACTTAAATTGTCAGGACGTGGAGTGTTCTAGTTGCATTTGGTATAGTAACCCACAATTATGGGTAATTAATAATTCCAATAAAGATCGTTATAATTAGAGCTGTTTAAGTAGACAAGGTATATAATGGGAATATAGCTGTGGTCTGTAAATGTAGATAATAAGTGCATCAAGGTTCAGTTACCACAACAACAGAAAATAGAGAACGAGAGACATACATGTAGCAGTGTATCTGGGAGCGGTTACCAGTGTATCGTGCTATGGGGGATTCAAAACATAAAAGGGAGTATCAAGGTCACGCCATTTTAAACAAGTACTTTACAATCACTCATAGTAAATGTACAAACTATGAGAAATAATGAGAGATATGCAAGTAGTATCAAAAAATAATTACAAAATAATTTCGTCGTCACAATCTCCTATTGTAAATTGATAACGCCACTAGATGTCAGTAAGCCATCTGGGTTTCGTTATTATTTACTTATATATTAGGTATCCCTTAACGACTTTATGTCCTCTTTATCACTCTTTGAGTAAAGCTTTTGCATGAGTAACACTCCTGTAATATGAACTTATAATAACCAAAGGATACTGAGTTCAAAATTGGCCAAGGAAATCCACATGAATAGGTTGCCATGATTCCAAGAAGGTTTATTTTTATAATAGCTTCTGTAAACATTCAGGACAGTTTTCTCTGCTCTTAAATAGGTGAAGTTAAGGTCGTCTTGTACTGCAAATGTTGGTGTTGGTTGGGGGACAAAAAATCTTCGGGATGTAGTGATGTCTTCTCTCCTTTTATAAAACTTAGGAAGGCTACTCTTGCAATAGACATTTCAATCTCTTCACTGCATTTATGGCAGTTTAAAAATATGATTATCTATTACATGTTCTCCTCTATCAACTGGTAATGGTAGTACCAACATACAATCACTTTAAGTTGCGTGGTAGAAAATCTGCATGTAGTATGCTTCTAGACATACTGTTCTCCATGGTGAAATCATAAGTACTCATCTATATATTCCATTTCTAGATCATGGCAGCAGTTGATCGATGAACCTAGTCGAGTATTAGTTATTTATCACACACTATTATTTATATAAAAACTGATCAGCGAAAAAAACTTTCACATGAATTTTCTTCACCCCAACTCATTTCACTTAGTATACCAACAATTATTGTGAGTGAAATTATTGACATGTATTATAAACTATGAGAGATAGTAAAAGGATTAGTTGCTAACTAGTATTATACTCCAGAAATAGGTTTCTAAGCTTTAATAAGCTGAGAACGAGATTCAAAGTAGTGTATAAACTAAAATAACAAATGAATATTCATAAGTATTATGTTCATGCCATTTTGCGATGTTTACAATAATTTCGAATTACAATCGTTTGGAAGAATTTCCGAATACATTACGCTGTCTGTACCAACAACTGACACCGTATATTAGTAATCTGCATCCAAATAAAAAAGACAAGACTTTCGGAATTTGTATAAGAATGGCGTATCGGTGAAATCCCCCCCAAAAAAATCAAATTAACTTTGTATCCATTCGGTTATGTACCGAATAAATTCACTGAATAGCAAGTACAGAAGTTATTGAATTGAATAATTGTTACTTATACACAAAATCACCTAAAATTAATTCAATCGAATATGATACTGAACAAAGTGATAGAAAATCACGATGTATTAATTAGAACGAATTAATTTTGTGCTGAAAAATATCAAACTGAAATAATCAAAGTCGAATGGACAGGAATCAAATTAAAATACTAAAAAAATCAACTGAATGAAAAATATTTAAAATCGACATTTAACCATTTAATAACTTTCTCCCTATTGAATAATATTTAGGAACCTAAAATCATCAACAATGCTCAATTAATGTTTCCAGTGTTCAGCCCAGATTCTCACCATTGGTTCATAAGTAAGAATGTGGGGCTAATAAGTGTTTTCTGATATGGTGATTAAAACTCTGTTAATGTAGAGAAATATGGAGAAGCTATAACCGATTCTCGATTTATTTTACTGATTTAACAAAGCAATTCTAGTCTGAATAGTCAAAACTGGGTGATTTAAGATGTAACGGATATTCAGGGCTTGACAACGTTGTTTTCTGTAACGTCCAGTCAAACCCAGAGTCAGGAATGAAGGGGTTCGAACAAATATATATATATATGGCAAATAGTATGTATGTAAGTATGTAATCTAAGGTGACTGGTTGTGAAGCGCTGCTTGTCCAATGGTTATCTGGTGCGAACTGTTATCTGAGCGGCTTCAGCTAGAAGGCTTCCAGTAAAACTAATGAGATCAAGATCAATGTCGAAGACTTGTATGTCTATTTATATTGGAGATTTATTTACTACTATATGTTTAATGGAAGCTTAGTTTTCTTTAAAAGTGTTGATAATTGAAAGCATTTTTTTTGTTGTCCAACTATCTGTTCCCAATTATAGCGATGCAGATGATAAAAACTCACTTTTTCAGTAAAAGTAATCTAGTAATAACAGATTATGATATAAAAACAAATAAATTTGACGTGCTTTTCACGTTTAGGACCAAGCCTTCGCTTATCACGACGCTAAAAATGATTGCTGATGATATGCTTATTATAATCGCTGAAAAATTAATAGACTTTGTTACTTACGTATTTGGCTTTTATTTCTTAAAAGGGTAATCATTTTGTTGTGAATTTTTTCTGTTTTCGTTTAAAATTTGCAAAAACAGTTCGCTTTTGTGATAAACAGCAATAAATATTTCATATTTTAAGTCAAGATTCTATAATAAAATATTAAAGGTAAGATTCAACTCTATTATATTCGTTACTAAAAAGTATCTACTTGCTTTAAATTCACACCCTGATGCGATAATATCTCTCTCTAGAACGTTTTACAAAGATACTTGTTTCGTGTAGAAAAATGAAACGCTTTGGTTTTCAGTATACCATTCAATATTTTAAATTTTCACTCTCATGTCTCGTTTTGGTATGCTGATTATGAAATGAACTCAGGATGAATAGCTGTACTGATTTTTTTTTGAATGATACCAAACATTTATGTATTCCCCTAGTTAGGTTATGCATGTGACTTTATTCAGCAATCACCAGCTTACTCGAATAATTTTTGTCACTTTCATGTTATCAATTAATTAGTCTATGCATCTGACAAATAGTAATAATTATGCGCTGTATTTGTGTACATAATTTAAAAGCTTCCTTAATGTTTAGCTCGCACAACCAATTAGACTTCTTTTGGAATATCTTGAAGAAACATATGAGGAACATGCATATGATCGCAATGAAGTTGATGCCTGGCGCAACGATAAATTTAAATTAGGCCTGGAGTTCCCCAATGTAGAATACCAATTTTACGGTAATAATTTAATTATCTAGCTTCCTTATTATATTGATGGTGATTTCAAATTAACACAATCTATGGCTATCATACGTTATATAGCTGACAAACACAACATGTGTAAGCTAAAATAGTAATCTATGTTCCTAGTGGGGGCTTGTCCAGAAGAACGTGCAGAAATTTCGATGCTTGAAGGAGCGATTTTAGATATTAAGACGAGTATTTGGACAATTGCATGCAATAAGGAATATGTGAGCTAGAATTAAAATTTACTTATCTCAAGCAAACACTCAAAGTTGATTTTCTCAACGAACTTCGTGAGAAGCTGAAAATGTTCGAAGATCATCTGTCTAACAAAACGTATTTGAACGGTAACTGCGTAAGTTATGAAATTTTAATGACTTGACCTTCAATTCATTGTTCTAGTTGTATCTATCTGGTCTAAAAAGCGAACTCCGATAATCTTATGTCTATGAGTGATCATGTTTCAGCGTAACAGGATACGTGGATATATGTTTCACAAACCCCAGCCGTAATTTTCCACCGTGAATTAAGGATTTAGCAAAAGATACATTGGTTCAAGTTGTGATCGTTCATACCAGTATATGAAGCGAAATGACAAAATAAAAACACACTATATTAAGTTAAAATAACTAGAGAAATGTTTAAAATAAAAACAAAGGAAAAGAATATATGTTTTTATGTCAGCAGACCAATTTCAAGCTAAATCATAGAAATTCTTCAAACTTCAAGTCATTCTAACGTGAGAGCTTTGTAGATGTTAACAGCGGAAATGTTTAGTAATACTTAACTCGTAATTCACTCAGATAAATTGATCACATCATTGAGGTAGACTAATTTTTAGATTGAAAGTCTACGTTTATATTAAAATAATGCAATATTTAGCTTACGCTGACTGTTACAGTAGTTCTGTTTTTGAATGAGATAAAGAAAACGAGTATAGTCACTTACTTTTTGAGTTCTTATAATCCATTTACCTCTACAGGTAACTCATCCTGACTTTATGTTATACGACACTCTTGATGTGGTTTTATACATGGACTCACAGTGCTTAAACGAGTTACCAAAATTAGTTTGTTTCAAACAATGTATTGAAGTAAGTTCGTGATAAAGTGTTTTTACTTCTCATCTGATTCGGCGGACTCTCACCTACTCTTTTCTTTTTTTAATCAGGATTTACCACAAATTAAGAACTACTTAAATTCTAGCAGGTACATAAAATGGCCGCTGCTAGGTTGGAGTGCTACGTTTGGAGATGGAGATGCTCCTTCAAATAAGATTAACAGTAAATCTTCTGGTAAATAAAATTTAAAGCCTGTTATATTTGTACTAAATAAAAAATAACAATAAAATTCTGAACTGCTCTTTTTTGTGTGAAAATATTACAGTGTGCGTAAATGCTATAGTACCCAAAAAATAACACTGTCATTTCATCAGACGCATGCACCCTGAGTATTTATTGATACAAGTCAAAACGGATTAATATTGAAGTTAATAGCGTTGTACTTCGTCAAATTTATTATAAGCGTGTGTCTAATTACTACCCTCCCTGACACAATAGGTAGCTGGTGCTAGAGTAAGGTGGAAGAAAGCCAGGGATGGACATACCAAGACATAATTTCAACTCATGAAACCATCATCTGTCAAGCTAAGTCGTGTTATTAAGTGCAAACTACTCGATTGATATATGTGTGGTGATCGTGATTTGAAGTGACATAGATCAAGATCAGTCGTAGTGGTATAGATGTGCTCATTTCCCAACCTACCATAAGTCTTGAATGTCATTACGATCCCATATTTCTTATTGTGTAATTTTATGCTGTTCCTGCAAATCAGATACTTTATATTTAGTATGCTTTTTATCATTGTTAATATTCTGATTTGTTGTTCATCTTGTCACTTTCATCTTCCTAACTTCATGTAATATGGCAGCTTCGGCCGATGCACAAGTTCTACGTTGATGATGATTGACTGGTTTTTATTTCCATTAAGTTATAGTGTTGGTACTTGAGGTACAGCATAAACTAATAAGGCTTAGTAATTGACACTTCATACTCAAGAGTTTAGTGGTTATATATATATATATATTTACTTGGGTAACCTACTTGTTACTAAAATAATTCCTGTGAACCACGTGTGTTCTCCAGAACAAATCGTTTGATAGTTAATTTTTGGAACTGATTATGTAAGAACAACAGTCAAACTTATCTCTAATACAAATTTCCTTTAATTCTTGATAATACAGGATTTCATTGCTAGTGCAAATGGTTCAGGAAAAAGTGTAGAGAAGCCGCTTAAATAAAAAGGCTCCTGACTTGATCAGAGTTGCGGGTTCGAAGGCCTTTCTAAATCTGAGAGTTGGGTATCCAGACAGTTTTATTTGTCCTTGCAGTTGACTTAACCTGGTAAACGTATATTTATGTGGTTGTCAACTTTCCTAATATAATCTGAACACTTCAACGTTACATTTAGGGTGGGGATTCAAGACGTAATCCATTGCTCGTGGCGTTTTTAGCTTTTTCCTAATGTTCATCGCGATTTCCACATTTCCTTGATTACAAGCTTCTGTTTGATTGATAGGCTACTGTCATATCTCCCGCAGTAATCTAATCGTAAGCTTAATATCCCAATTTCATACCCTGAATATCTTATTTCATGATTATTATGCGTTTTGTTCAAGTTGAACATAATTGTAATCATGTTTATTTTTGAGTTCGATCAAACCATCAGACATAAAGCGGTAAGTACAAGTGTCTTATTGGGTCTTATCGAGAAAGTCTTGCCTAGCTAACTAGGATCTGCTTTAAAAGATATTTTTCCGAGTCACTGCGATAATCTGATTCCAAGGTCAGTCAAATTGGAACACATGCGTAACAGTCAAAAGGTTAAATCAAGTAGCATAGCGCATCAATGATAATCAAAACCTGCGAGTCAAGCTCTAGTATGTCTAATAATAACAAAACGGATATTGGCTTTTTGTTGTACATGAATAGCAGGTAATATGAGGTAATAGAAAAATAGTGTACTGATAAGATAGTAGTGAACAAAAAAGTGAATTTTCTATAAAAACAAAGTGATTATAGTTTGATTATGATATGATCATGTATATCATTTTTATTCAAAAATGTTAACAAAATGACCTTAGTCACGTTAAATTCAATGAACACATATGACAATATAAATAATCAATTATGAATGGGATTTGGTTTTGCTTTCATACTGATCTTATAATAATTATAACAAATAAAACTAATATAAAACCATGTGCAAAACGTCTAAGAAAACTGTGGAAATATGATTTGTTTAGTTGTAATGAACAACTGACAATAATGTTAAACCATTTAAATGAAGTAAGTTACCAATCTTAACTCGAACCCTCGTTAAAAGATATGATTTAGCTCACAAGTTTAATGTCCTCAACTTTATACTGCAGTGTTTGGATGAAGATTATACTACCGAGACTCCTAAACCAACACAAGTGTCTCGTGGTTTCAATTCACGCCATAATAATTGAAAATTAAATGTTCTAATCACTAATCTACGCTTTCGCAAAATGGAATTAATGAGGTCAAGTGGTTAGATGTACCAATACAGCTTAACCTGACACATGATATATACGATGATACTGGTTATTCTCGAGCAAATGATGTGTTATTTCATCAATTATTGGTAAGAAAGAATTAAGCTAACGAACAACGTTGTAACTTTTTAACTGAACTATATTAAGAAAAATAGGTATCATACAGAAGTTATCGGGGATCAGTAACTTTTGGATGTCAACTGACGACTTCTTTGATGGAATATCTTAAGTCACCAGAATTCATGTTAGGTTTACGACTTAATTATCGCAAGACGTTCACTTAATTCACTAGTCTACTGTTACGGATACTTATAGGATTAGCATATTAATAGTGATTTAGGACAATCATCGTTTAGTATCTGCCAAATCTCATCAGGATGACGTTAGAGAGATGCTTTCTTAGAAATTTATACTTTCGTTATTTAATCCCTTATAAAATTTAAAAGTATCAACTGTTACAGTTTCATTCATGTTAACTTATAGAAACCAATAGTTATGGAAACTGATTGTACAGATTACATATAGAGTACTAAGAAAAAAGCTTAATTAAGAGTCTATGATAAAATCTATCCAGTTTCTAGGATCAGAATTTTCGGTATGCGACTCGAATAGTCGTAATTCGACCATTGACTATAGAAATTTTGCAGCGTTTGCTCGTCGCAGATTATTAAGTTAATTACTACTACTATATAAGCGTGATGTAAATTGCAAACTAAAATATCCCCATAAGCCTATTAAACCAACATTAAGACTATTTGTTTAATTGCTTTGATGACAGTTTTCGCAATGATTTCTAATAGTCGAACAAACTAAGTATTACAACGATAACAGTTATTATTATTAATGGCTTTATTCAATATTACATCTTCGGTACAACATAGAATTCTTAGCGCAGAGTATTTCAACAAGTTATCTTTTTTGATTTCTTGGATGATCCTGACGATAAGTATTAAGTGATCACCAGTTAGATGTTAGAAGTTCAGGAATCCACATCTAAGTAATGTTCGTCTTTTTCAATACATATATCCAGTCACCAGGATATCTCTTATTGTATTTTTTTGTAACTTGTACAGCAAAAGGTAGTAAATTTTCCATAGGTTATTCGATTAGTAAACATAATGATGTGTTACAACAAACAAAAACATAACTTGTTAAAATATTTAGATGGAGAGAACAGGTAGTCCAGATATTCGAGCAGGCCGTCAGTTAAGTAAACGTAATGTAATGGATAGGTGTTCATGTTTACTTATAAATCGACTGGCATAGTACGTAAATTCATCCACATTTTGCGAAACATCCTGTATTTAAGCATATTGGTAAACCTCTGATTGTAAACAAAACCAAATTTCAGCTAAACCTTTTAAATGATTTCTCTGGTGATGTAAAACTAATTAAACTGCCAATGAGTTATGAAGTTAGTTATACTTTACCATTAGATTTTGGCTAGTACTAAGGTTCAAAACAGCGGTTTTATTCTATCTGTGCCTCAGCAGTTTGATGTTTCTGAATCGCATTATTAACGTTTATACATAGAATACAAACCCAGTGCCTATTACTTCAAACATCAACGTGTTATGGACAAGTTTTTTTTTCAGTTGTAACTCAGTAGATATTTAAGGTCGTTCAAACCTACATTTGATTAATAATGGTTCTCATTTCAATGAGACAGTTTGATGAGGAGTATAAAAATGAGTACAAAAAATTGTAAATATCTATGTTATAGTACATTTCATTGAAGTAAATCATGCATATTTCATAATGCTAAATGTTTTAAACGTGCCAAAATTGATCATACTGCTTAAACATATTTTACTACTGTTCATTTTACTATCTGAGATAACAAACCTTGAAATTTGGATTTGAGCAAGATGGTTGATTTTATTGACCGTTAGCTTTCTCCATTTACGGCTTACAATAACTTATTTTACTCTTCGAAACGATTATATAAAACTACTGGCATGTTTTGGATGATTCTGAGAATTACTAATTTATGTATTACACTCAATATTTGGGATGATTAATACATAAATGTAAAATTCACACATCGGAATACTCAAACTAAGTACGTGACAACTAAAGTTATTAGCTCAATCCTTTTGGTTGAATTTTACGATTAAATGTAATATAACTTTGTTAATTTATTTAATCTATCAGTTAAAATTATTCTTCTGATTTATTTATATTGGGTACACTGTAATCACAGGATACTTGTTCTTGATTCATTCAGTGAAATTTTAACTGAACATATTTAAAGTAGTTCTGGATTTATTTTATTAAAATACAATTCCGGCGTTAAAATTGGTTCCAATACAATTGCTGGGTACTTTAATGTAGATTTCAGATTACGAATTGTTATAATTCTAGTATTCGTCCACTATTACTGTTACCTAAGTCTGTTACACTATGATTCTGTTTATGATTTCTGTACATATCAGTTAACTTAATTACATTGAAATAGATATTTAGGAATATTGTTATTTGAGTTTTCATTATATCCATAAGTTATCTATCATTCAAAATAATACAAATATAATAATACTGTAGTGTGTTCTACTGATATCAACAAATATAAGTAGAGATTAAGGTAATATCGAGGCATACGCACAGTATGCACATATGCCAATAAGAGAATGATCAATTTCAGTCCAACAACATCAATGGGAAGATTCAAGTAAAACAATATCAAGTGAATTACATATAAGTAGCATGTATCGTCAATCAAAAGTGAAATAC